CAGGTGATAGTACAGCGGGCTCTGGCAGCAAGAAACATGACCCACGTTAAAGGGGCGTCCATCCTGGCTGGCTATCTGAAGCTTTTGCCACTGTTCATGATTGTTATTCCCGGCATGATTGCTCGGGTGCTGTTTACAGGTACGCCGACTGTCGATGGCATTTCTCCGCCTTTTGTGGGTGCGAGAAGAGATTAGATTCAGTGATACTTTCTGCAGTGAACTTTCAAGAGTTTCTTTTGTTGAGGTTTTCTCCATGCCACTATTTACAGAAGCAAAAATCACGTTTGGAGTTTGACCCTTTGTTGGGTTTAAGGGTACTTTCGGTTTTCAGGTTGCAGGTTTCTCTCTGCGCAAAACTGTGGTTTTGTTTAAAACAATTAGTTGACCATTTGAGTTACATGCAAACACAAACATTCTCCCCAGTTTCTATTAAAGTGCAAAATCGTTATAACAGCACGGTCATCAGGTAAGCATTGTTATGTTTTACCTCGTCTAATTCTGTATCGTTTGCAGACGATGTAGCCTGTGCAAGTGCCGAGAGCTGCAAGGCTGCGTGCGGTTCTGAGGTCGGGTGTTCCAACATAGCCTATCCCAGGCTAGTTCTTGAACTCTTGCCAACAGGTAGGGAACACGGCACATGTCCATTCAACGTGGTAGAAAAAAATCACCGTCTTGAAACCAGCCTTGGATTGTGTTGGACAGAATGGGAGTCGTCTGTTCCTTTGTTTTGAGTGCACTTGAGGCAAAGGCAAAGTTCGCAGATTTCACAGGTTAAATGGTTGAGGTGCATCTCCTTTTAAGTGGTCTTACTGACCATTTTTTTCTTCACCTTGAAGGCCTCCGCGGTTTGATGGTAGCAGTTATGATGGCGGCCCTCATGAGTTCGCTCACGTCCATCTTCAACAGCGGTAGCACTGTCTTCACGATGGATATCTGGCGCCGCATACGACCAAGGGCAAACAACGCAGAGCTTATGATCGTTGGAAGGTTAGAAATGTTGGAAACGTCGTACAAACTGAAGGTCCCACGTTACACATCTTCCATACAAACTACTCTCTTTCAGTTTTCTATTGACGATACCTCATAAGCTTTTGCCGAGTCAGGTCTTGCTTCCGGGTTATTGGTCGATCCGCCTGAAACTCCCAATACAAATTTACCGTTCATCAAAAACAATAATCTTCCATTTTTCAGAATTCCTGAAGCCAGAAGTCTCGAAACTTTTGGGTTTTTTTCCTTTGAAATGTTTCAAACATAAAACTCGGACGCTTTGGTGAAATGCTTCACCCCAGCACCCTGTGTTCGACACGGCATCTGGATTGTTTGAGACGAATCACACGTTAATGTATCCCTCCGCTTTCTTGGCCGTAGGCTGTTCATCGTTGTGTTACTGGGCGTGAGCATCGTCTGGATCCCCGTCGTACAAGCCGCGCAGGGCGGCCAGCTCTTCATCTACATCCAGTCGCTGCAGTCCTACTTTGCCCCGCCCGTCTTCACCTGCTTCGTCATGGGCGTGGCGTGGGGCCGCATCAACGAAAAGGTACGCCGTTTTTGGCATCGGGGATCTTAGTAACAAACTTGCCACTTCTTCCTTCGTGACTCTGCCTGGCCACGTTGATACTAACCTTGGGAGATATATTACCGGGTTGAAATTTAATTGGAATTATTGCTTTATACAAATAAAGGCAAGAGATTTTCAAAACATTTGGTGAAAATTTCAAGTGCCAGTGGGTGAATTGAGCCTAGGAATCGGTCAGCGTTTTACCGTAATTAGCCGTCAGTAGTTTACAGGAAGTAAGTAGACCTTTTCAAGCTGGTTACCCAAAAAAGTGATATTACAGTACGTCCAGTTTTGTATCGTGTCTAATGTTAAACTTGTTCCACAATTTTTCCCCTTTAAGGGTGCTTTCTGGGGACTACTTTGCGGAATTGTCTTAGGCGTCGTGCGGATGGTTCTTGACATCGTCTACCCGGCTCCGGCGTGTGGAGACGTCGACACGCGGCCGTCCTTCGTCGCTGAGATACACTTTCTGTACTACAACTGCATCGTGGGCGCTGTGTCCATCTCGGTCACTGTTGGCGTCAGCCTTCTCACCAAGAAGTTGCCGGATGAATATGTACGTTGCCATGCACTGTGAAATTTGCAGAAGTGGTCGCTCCTTCTTACATGACCTCCTTTCTGACGTTGGTGAAAAAAACCGTTTGGGTCATTATTGTCCATATTCAACCAAACTAAACTAAACACATAACCAACAATTGTGGTAATACGGGCGATTTACAATAGTGCGCCACCAAGAGTTTGCAACACGTTGGCCAACCAAAACGCGCGAAAGTTGTCGACCCTTTCCAAACGCGCATTGGGTCGACAAATTGCGTGCATTGTGATTGGCCAACGCGTTGCAAACTCTTGGTGGCGCACTATTGTGAAACGGCCGTATTGAGTATCTGTTTGAATTATATCGTTGAACATCTTTACTGTGTAATTAATTTTTGTCGGTAAGATGTGCCTGTTCCCGTACAAAGCACACCGTTCGAAGTTGGTGTCATGGTGATTGTGTTTGGATTCGATTGGGGAGTGTATTTTTTTTGTGTGTGCTACTCAGGTATTGGGGATGACCTTTCTCACCCGGGGGTTGAGGAGGTCAAATGACACTGGTGCACGAGTGGACCAAGAAAAGGACATCGCCGAAGACGAATGTAAACAAGAACCCATGAACTTGGAGGAGAGCATGAAAGGTACGCAGCGTGTTGTATTCGAAAATGACTTGACGAAGTGAAAAACACATGGTTTAGCGTCCTCGTCCGCTTGCTTTTTGGAGGCCGCCTTGACTTTTTTGACCTTAAAAAAATGAGGCCAAAAGGCCCAAATGTTAACTGATCCATCTGTAAAAAAAGGAAATACTTTCGAGTCGGAACTTCTGTCTGCGTTCCTTGCACACCATGTACTCGTCCATACGATCTTCAGACGTGTTTTTCGTAATGATCACCGCGTTCAAATTAACTTGTTCACAGCTGAAAACTGCATCAGCGGCTACAAACTTACTTAAACAAGGCGTTAAAGCTGTTGTGAATATATCCAATTCTCTTCTTTGTCATGTCGCTTTCACTTATGAGCCTTTGAAAACACTAGGAACAGCAGCGATTGTTCCAATCAGAAACAACCAAGAACGGCAGCCCTTAAGTACAAAAAGCGGGCTGCCTTCTCTGTTGTTCTGAAACTTCGACGCCATAAAAGCATGTTTATTTTTGCTTTGCCTGATGTCTTCTATTACATTAATGCCACTGAAAACTGAGTGGAGAAGGAATTCACACAGCAAACAAACCAACGTGGCGCCTGAAATGCCACGGTTTTGGAAGATGTGGTACAAAGTCGTGTTCAACTTATGGCCTCCTTTTTTCCCGTTGTAGTCAAGTCTGTGCCCTTGTGGCGCAAGGGAATCTACTGGTTCTGCGGCTACGCGCCGGAGGCCAGGGACGCCAAGGTGCCAGAGCTGATTGCGTCACTGGATGAAAAGAGAAAATGGCGGATCGTCTTGCTGATAAATGCATTAGTCCTTTTCGGTGCCAGCATCGTCGTCAATGTCATCTTTTGGTAGCCGTTTCAATGGGTTTGGACGCCCACACCAATACTCCCTACCTCACTTCAGACATGCTTTTTTGCTTTACGTATTATCAAATATAGTCAGACTTGTGCTTTTTACTAGTAGGTTAATGTCTTGTGTTTAATTTGCCCATTATACTTTCACACCTGTTTACTCTATCACAAAGTATCTCACACCTGTATCGTCACCATCACCAATCCCCTTTTGCCTCATTCACCGCTGACAACATTTTCACCTCCGCATTCACCACTTTCACCTCTATCACCACCAGCATCACACACCTGTTATGTATGGCCCAGAGCAGTGTTCTATTTAATCCTCTATAATATTCACCTTTCATAATTTTGTTTTAATAAAGAGCTATACCGAATTTTTAATGTATCGAGTTTTATTTATCTTAGAATTTCTGGTGTAGGTAGTTCGTATGTTTTGTTCATTCACAACAGTGCTCAGTCTTCCACTTTTATGTAGATCTCTTACATAACTCGGGAGCTAAGGGTTCATGATTCGATGCAAGTTCAGAATCTTTTCCAATTACTTCAACACTATTTTAATCAATTTTCTTTTGCTGAAAGTGCCCTTGCCTGGAAAGCAGGTTTTTTTCATGTAGAAACCCTGTTATTTAACTGTTGAAACAATGTCGTTGATGTTGAAGTCTGTCAGTAATTGCATATGTATATTTTTATTCTATACCGTAGGTAGACTCAGACTTGTGTCTTTTTTTGCATGCGGTATTAACCTCTACTAAACACCTTAAAAGTAATTGATTTTAGTTTTACAAAAACACGCAAGGAGATCGACATTTTAGGAACGCATGTGGAGAAATCAAAATAGCGGGGACTTAGTTGAAAATACGAGTTGAGCACTGTCGTTGATTTTGTCTGGGGCACCGTAAAATGCATACAAATGGGGTTCCAAAATGTCACAGCGACAGTGGACATTTCCAAGGTTATGCTCTGACGATATTTCTGTGCAGGCAGTACAGTTCTGAAGCAGCGATAGTCAAATGCCCATTGCTCAGATCAAAACTTGCACTGTGTTTTTTTATGTTTTATGTTTTTGTTTTTTAATTTGTTTTTGTTTTGACTTCAGTTTAATACCTTCTGCTGAATGTGAATTTGTACACGTTAACACATTAAATTCTTACCACGGATTCCAATAACACAGTCCATAATTTGGGTTCTTTTCCTCGATGCGTAGTATCGATTTATACGAAAAGTCATGTTTGAGAAAACTGGTTGTCTGCAATTGGTTTACTTGCCTCTGCACCATGACTGGTGTGAGACTGCAAAGGATGGACGTTTCATAAAATGAAAGTGGAAGAGAATGTTTTGCTTCACTTGTTCAAAATTATGCTCGATGACACCTTTGCGCTTTGTATAAAGGATTCACACACAGCACATTATTTTTGGTTTCATTTTCACTGTTTAAACGCACAGGACCTATCCGCACCACAGACCTTTTCACTAATAAATTCATAATTAAGCACGCATGCGCACAAATGGCCTTGGCGGCAAGAAGTGTAAGCGGGCCATTGAAAACGTACTGGGGTGCGACTTTGATCATTTTCTCTCAGATTTTCTGGAGCTGTCCTTTGGAGCTGGAACCCGTGGTAAAGTCCATTCTCGTGTCCTTTTTGAGGTCGATACTTCGCTTAAAGAATCCTTTTGACTGAAACGCAATGAATAGGAAGCCCGAAGTTTCTTCTTTTTTTTTTTTCATGTTTAAGCATGAAAGAGACACAAAACTGAAAAGATCGGTTGATCTGCCACGGACAGGGGAACCAGTCTACTATATGTCAATGTGCATCAAAATCGATTGATCAGATCGATTTAAAGTGTGTTAGCCATGTCGTGCGCACCGCCGATGTTAAGTAACTTAACCCCCTCCCATGGCTTAATCAATATTGCGTGCTAGGAACGCCATGCGTGACTTCTCGTCAGTAACATTGACCACTCGCACATCATCCAGTTTAACAGAATACCAGGAGAAACAAATTATGCCAAAGAGGTTTTTCTTGGCCTTGGAGATGCACTCCACAGAATCGTGAAAGTACACTTACAGGAATATCGTATAAGTTCTACTCCTCATCTACAAACAAGAACTGAAATGTAAGTAGCACGTTTTCCGGTGTAGTGATCCATGGTTTGCGGCGGGTAGAACAATATGAAAACTTCGACCCAGAGCTGGTAATATAGAGAGTTGCGACATGAGCGTCTCAAGTGCTGGAACCAAAATGGTGGATTACGCTTCAGTGCACTCATAATGATCACCCATTTTGTTTCCGAAGTGTTAAGTTGGCTCTGCTTTTTCTGTAAACATCTGCTTCGACAACCTCGTTTGAGTGTACAGCACACTGAGTAAGAGTGTTCGAAATGTACGTCGGTGTAATGGCAAACCCCTGTTTCAAAAATGAGCATCTCCCCGACACAAATTTTATCTTGAAATGTACAGACTAAATGCATATCGACCCATTTGCGAAGGAATTGTTCAACACATAATTTATATCTTTGTGTAGATGTTTGGACGGTACATGTGCACGGAATTACGGATAACTATATGCAAGTTCTACAATCAAGCCGTACGCGGTATGATTAGCCTAGTTTTACATTACGATCGTGGTAAGTGGACAGGGACGTTAGTTTACCGTGCGTTCCCATTGGATTGAATTTTGTAATTCTACATGAAAGTTGCGGTAATTTAACCAAAAAAGTCCAATGGGAATACGGCTTTAATTATTTTGTCGGTAATGTTCCCAGAAAAAAAAACCGACTTGCTCCAATTTGTATCAAATAAGATTTTGTATGAATTCAAACAGGAAGCAAACTGTGTTATAGGTTTGTCATTCGAAGATTCCTTCCAGATTACTCCATGAGTACTTTCGTTCTTTGACAGGTCTGAAAAGTGAACGTCCCTGTTCATTGGGAATGGCATTCACGAAACTATGGCCAGACTGGTAAGAAATTTTGCCTACATTGTCCCCCCCCCACATTTCCTTATTTTCTGTCTCACTGTTTTGCACAGTTCATTGAAATTGTTAGATTTTGGCTGCCAAAGTGTGTGGCTTAACATTTTTATCCGTTAAAGTGTCATTTTGCCAAGAAGGGAGCACTTCATGAAATGATTCCCCAAATTGGCTTTCGATATTTCAACCGTACGGCGGTTTTTACTTGTATTTCTTAGAGGCAGTTATCGAATTAAAGCGGGTATAATTTGGCCGAAAGCGGCTGCTGTAACTTGATTGATAATTTGTCTCCGATTACTTGCAGAGAAGTCTATTTCTGCTTATTCTGAGTGTTTCGTTGGTGGTCCCGACGTACTTTCTGCTCAGGACCCTGCCGAACATGAGCAGACGGCGCTTCAACTTCAAAAGAAAATCCCTCAAGCGCGTCCAAAGCATGGCAAACAATGACAGTCGCATTGAAGGGCGCCACCAAGGCGGCCCTCAACACAGACCTGGCAGGAATACAAATTTTCACCGGAGTCCCTGCCATTACGAGGTCCAGATCTTTGATACCGTCGGCAAACTCCTAAAAGAATCTCCCGTCCTCAAGAGCGTGGTCCGACGATCCAAGAAAGGGCCACTCGTTCGGACCGGCATCCAGTGCGGGGAGTATGACTGCAGCATGGAACTGACCATTGCCGACGGCAGAAGAGACTTTGCCGGTATGGACGCAGTCGTGTTCCGCTTCACCAGGGGCCTCGTTCCGTGGCGTCCGCTCCCGGCTGACAAGAACCCCGGCCAGGCCTGGGTGTGCTTTTCGTGGGAGTCCCCCAGTTCGATGGTGCAGGAAGACAGGGTGGCCGAGTTGCCCGTCCACGCCACCTGGACCTACTATCGCGGCTCCGAAATCACCACCCCGTACGGCTTCTACAAGCCCGGCAAACCTGTGTCCAGCCGGAGGAAGCCGGCACACGAGTGGGTGAAGGGCAAGACGAGGCTGATTGCGTGGATGTCCAGCAACTGCAAGGGCACTTTCTGGCCCCGGACAGACTTTGTCCGGGAGTTGCAGAGGTACGTTCAAGTGGATGCATACGGAACCTGTGGGGACCTGAAGTGTCAGCCGGCCTGGTCGGCGAAGTGCAACAGGGACCTGCTCCGAGAGTACAAGTTTTATCTGTCCCTGGAGAACTCTGAGTGCGAGGACTACATCACCGAAAAACTCTGGAATAAGCCCCTCTTGCAGGGAGTGGTCCCTGTTGTCTATGGCCCCAGACGGGAAATCTACGAGGAACTACTGCCACCAAATTCATTCATCTACATCGGCGATTATAAAAATGTGAAGGAGCTGGCCGACTATTTGAAAGTCCTGAACCACAGAACCGAGCTGTACGCCCAGTACTTGCAATGGCAGTACCGCGGCAGCGTGGAAGTGTTGAAGCCCATGCACGGATCCTACGATCCGTCCATCTTCTGCAATCTCATACCAGTTATCCGGCGAGTGAAACGGGGTGAGATGAAACGGAGGCCAGTGAAAGAGAGCAGCTTTGCACATTCTTGCCGGAGTAATGAAACGTTTGATTCAAATTTTGGTCTCGATAATTGGAACCCTTGGTAATCGTCCTCTAGCTGTTGGCGCGCCTGTGAGCTCTTGCGAAATCCCTGCAAAACTAAGTTTGGTCACAATTTGATCCTTATTTATCTTTTTATTTTTACTTAATTGAAAAACAAAAAAAACAGGAGACAGTGTACACTGATTTCCTGTTCATTTGTGCTCATCACATAATTTTGCTTGGAATCCCGGGCGTTTCACAATAGTTCTCCTCCAAGAGTTTGCAACGCGTTGACCCATCACAATGCGCGGAATCTGTCTACCCTTTCCAAACACGCATTGGGTCGACAGATTTCGCCCATTGTGATTGGTCAACGCGTGGCAAACTCTTGGAGGCGCACTATTGTTAATCGCCCGTATTCTTTCCAAATTAAGAAGAAAACATGGAAAGGATATTAAAAGCTAAAAATTCCCAACTTCAACATAGTTGTATTCCTCACTAAAAAAATTGTTTTCTCAAAAATTTCACCAGAAATTTACAAAAGAAAGCAATAACATAATCGAGCACATAATTATGTATCATGAAAATAAATCCGAGTATACATTAACTCCGAGTATATTAAGGATTATGAAAATGAATGATAATGACTTTGTCAGTAGTAATGATGATGCCTCTCAGGTTTGTATCGAGCCCTGAATCCTGATTTATCATGTCCTCATTTTATTCTGATCCGGGAACAAATCACGTGCGTCTTTATACACTTTTGAAGTTTGGAATTGCCCTCCACTATAGAGCCAGAACGTGAAAGGTCACGCAGCGAGCTTCCGGAACCCTCGCGCGGTCCTCCTATGGGGATTTACTTTGGGCCGTCCTATTACGTTAGATAATTTTGGGAAGAATAATTCCTAACTGAAACCTCCCAATGAAACACTCATGTTGGAATTTTCTTTTATCTTCTTCGAGTAATATTTAGGAAAAGTTATCTGGAGATGGGTAAAAAAAGAATTTTCTTAACGACCTTTCACGTCCAGTGATACCGTATCTAGGTCTCCATGTTTATTGTGCACGTTTGTTTTCACGGCCCGTGCTTACGTGAAAACGAGATTGTACAAGGTTGTAAAGATTTACCTACTTGCAGTCGATGGGTTCCAGATTCCGTTGAATTGACATCACGCAGTTGTTGTTAGCATAGGTTAGATAAAAGATTAGAATCTTTTGTAACTGAAGTGGAATATTACTTTACGTTTATTAATTATAAATTATAAATTTATGAAAGATATGTTGATCTGTTTTTATTTCGGCTTTTACCGAGGGAGTGACATAATAATGTCAAACCGTAAATGTTCATCTGCGTACGAGACTGCCCCATTGCACTGCTCTTCATGTATTTTAGATTTTCGGAAGTGATGGGTCAGTTTTTGGCTGGATATTTCACTTTAAGGTCAAGTGATTTTTCAGTTTCTATAAATTGATATACTAGCAAATATTTTCCAAAGCCCCTTTTCCGAGTTGGATCTTTTAAAGAAGTAACTTAACGAAAAAATCTTACAAATTCTAAAATCTGTGCACGTTATTTTTCCGATCCAAGGGTTCCGGAAGCGCACCATCCGGGGTCAACTTTCAGGCTCTGTTAGCCAACTACCACGTCGCTACACGGTGTAATTTTAGGGGCGTGGTTACTCCAAGGGTTAAAAGAAAGGTCTTTCGAGAAGAAAACACGCGCTTGGGTCGGCGTACGGCTACGCCGATAGGACAAGACTATTGCACGCGCGTGCTGATGTTCCCCAATAACCTCGGACGCGCTTCAGGTTTGGAAGGCGCGGTTGGAATACTGAACTGGCACACTCACCCTGGCTAAATGAGCCACAGCGCCTCAGGCCTTTGTCGTCTATGACTTCTGATGATCCATGACCTCACGGATACAGCACCGATTGCGTATCCATTATGGCGTAGCCAAGGGGGAGGGAACTACTTCCCCTGGCAGATCGGGTCTGAGGACAAGAAAAAAAACTGTGTAGGCCTATAGCTTTTCCTTCCTAGATTTGTTTCTGACCGTACCATCACGATGAATTCTTAATCAGACAGGTGAATTATTTAGGAGTTTTGATTTTTTGTCAACCCTTCGCTTTACGAAGAACATCTTGGGATGGTTTTACAGCACTCAACTATAACGTCATAATTGCCAGTGCTGACATTAACTCGCTTTATTTCCATCATTGCCCTCTCAGGGTCCTTCATTGTTTACTCCCAAGCCTAGCAGCCTGCTGAGAGAGTAAACACTTTGGTCGAATTACGGTCTCAAACGTTAATGATTCAACTCCCCTCGATAGAAATCGAAAGGGATCGATTTCTCCTTTTCTCACAGATGGAAATATGATCTTAGTGGGCGGCCGTGACCGTTATTCCGCAAAATGAAAGGGAGGGAATACATGTTGTGTATGTCACTATCAATGCTTTCACGATGCATGACACCCAAACTAGGGGAAATACAGGCTTTAAATGAACTTCTTAATTTGCAGAAGTTCAGCGTGTCTCAGATGACGCCAAAATAACACGAAGTCGCATTGAAACATCATCCGTAGACCTTGATTGTTAGTTCCCGTTGACTATCACTCTCCAAGACGTCTTGCAGGGGAGCTTCAGAAAATTTCATCACTTCTACGTTCTTAAGCCCCACAAGTACTCTCCCTGCGAGATCTCCAGTGTGTGGGTACCCTCTTGTTAGAATTTATTCACCGTGGCTGCAAGACGAGAATGGCCGAGACTAAGGAGTATTTCGTGAAGGGATCGTACATGGAGCACTCCAAGCATGCCAACCTGATCCTGCAACGGGCGAGCACCAACACCTTGCTTTCAATCGAAAGACAGCGGAAGCTTGTTCTCGCCAACCTGATGCGGCAGAAGCGACTGGTGCAGAACGAACTCTACTCGCGCAGAGACGCACCGGTTGCGCTTTCGTTTTGCAAGAGGGGACGCGACGTTGATCCCAAGATGCCACTGTCGCGCCAGGAGACCAGATCGGCTACGCTGAGGAGGGAGGCGATTGCTCTGGGCAACAACGCCCCAGGTTCACTCTCGGTCCACCGTTTTGGCCCGCAGGCTAAGAGATCGGAGGCTCTTATCAAACCAATCATCGTCAAGACGGATGACCCCGATTGGCCAGACCAAGAGGAAACGGCCAAGCCGGCCCATCCTGCCAAGACAGTGGACTTGCTCTTTGAAGGTTTGACAATCTCAAGACGAACGCAAGAATCACTGAAGAAGATTGAAGAGAGGGAGAAAGAAAGAAAACAGAGTACTCAACACTCAGTGGACGAAAAGCCTCGCTCTGCCGCTAAGCCCAGGTCGTCTAAAATAGTTTCCTTTCAGGAGTCAAAGAATCGGACCTACTTGCTCTACGATAAGCCTGCCGTACAGACGAGCAAGACCCGCGTTCATTATGCAGACACCAACAAACTCAAGAACTACCAGCCAAGAGATCAACACCGTGCAGTCAAATCTGCCTATCCGCCCCGTCCTATATGCCGTTTGTACGCACCACCAAATCGCAGGAAGATCCCCGTCTCCATCCCAAGCGATCGGCAGTTTCCTTCTGAAATGAGACATAGGCCATTCGTCCCTCCCTGCTCCCTGTGTGCCGTGCATCGCTATGATGGCCGCCTTCACCATCGCACGTCCTTAATTACGGAATCAAAGCAGGCCACCCCAGAGAGCTCCCGGCCAAAGTCTCCTTCCGGACTCGTCGACCCCTGGGCGGCGTATGAATTCCACAGCGTTAACGAGCAGAATCCCTCCGTGGACGGTCCCCCCGGAAGACAGGACCACAGACCGAGGAAAGAAGAGACGATTCTCCACCTCCGGAAAGTTGACCAGAGCCGGGAGAACAAAACCGTGCTGAGCAAAGTGGAGAGATTTCTTGAGAGAAACTGGTCCGGTGGTATCGTAAAGAGGGGGATTAAGGATGAAGACAGTTTCGAAAGTGACGTCATTGATGACAAAGAGGATCAGATGATGCAGATGTCACGAAGGAGACGATGTGAAGTTGAGTATCGACACACTGAGGACAGTACCGTTTGAAGATTTCAATAAATAATGACGCGAACACAATTCTAATAAAAAGTGGATCGAATTAGGAAACGTCATGTGACTCAAACAGAGACTAAGTTAGGATCGTCTTGGTGAAATGACTTGAACAGCGTAAGTGGAATGTTCAAAACGATTAGAGTATTTTGTCACAGGCCCCAAAGGCTAAAAACGAATTCACGCTGTGACTTAACCAGTCTTTCATGTTGAAAATGTGAGAGAAACTTCCTCCTTTTTGCACCTCGGCTCTGCCGCATAACGTGCACAAGTTGTATGCCCTTTCGTCTTCAGACTGAAATAAATTGAGTACTGGCTAATAGGGTCTTCTGCACTATAAAATCTTGAAGCAAGGATTGAAAAATATCAAGAAATATGTGAGACAATCAAATGAACTGCATGTTTAAATAGCTGTCACTTCATTTACTGCGTAATCGTTCGTCCAGAGAATAGGTAGACGTAGACATAATTAATTTTCTGGGGACAAGGGCAGTTTGTGAATGTTTGATGACATCTAAAACTCGAAGGCATCAGTTTTAAAAGGATAACGTTCAATGTTACCCATACTGCCGGGGGGGGGGCTCTAGACGGGATGGGGCCTGCAGGGGATGGGAGGAGTCGCGGAACTAACTCCTACTCACGATTTACCTGTGTTTGCAAACCAGTAAGTAGGTCCAAATTTGCCCCCGCAGACCGAACCACGATTTGCAGGCTTCAAATTCTCTGTTGTTAGAGTATCCCCTGGCAAGTAGATTGGGTGGTTTAATTTGTAAAGAATTAGGATGAAATCTACCGGCAGGACTGACAGCTTGTATATCTGAAAGTATTGGGCCAAAAGGGACCCTCAAAATTGTTCTATTTTGCAATGAAGTGTTGCCGCAACAATTTAGAATGGCGATATAGGCCTCATGACTGTTTTGAGGGGTGATTATCTCTGGAAAGAAATATCTTCGAAAGTCATCAGTTAAGCTACTAAAACTGAATGGAAAATGAAAGACGAGGAAGTGAACTTGAATTTGATATGTGACATGAACACCCGACAAGCTTGTGAGTATTTTTCAAGATTTTTTTAAGTGGGGATACAATGTATTTGCCACTGTAGTCTGTGGAAGCTTTCCGTACTGGTCTGCCCTCAACAGGTGTATTTGTAAATAGCGCCACCAATAGGGATAGAAATCGCGGGTTCTTGGACTCCTTTCCTTTTACATGTCTGTAGCATCATGCCTGTACGTTCGGTTCTGCGTTGAAATTATTCCAGAATGGCTTGCGTTTCCGTCAAATTCGTATCCCAGAAAGTGAACAAAGTTCGTTGGCAGCCAGGTGATCTGCAAGGTTTGCAACCATCATATACCTTTGTGACAGGGAGTTGGGATAATGACGTGAGTATGGATTTTTAGGCCAAGGCGGCTACTTTTTAATTCTATTTTTGGGTTTACTTTTGACCCTTTTGACGTTTGCTACTCCTGAGTAGTACCATGGAGAAATAAAACATGGTAGTACTAAGCCTACTAGTGTAGAATCAGTTTTGTGAAAAAAAAATGTGTGGATAAATTCTAAATAACAAGAGGTAAAATTCAAGTTTAAAGTCCATAGATAGCGAAAGATGAAACACATCTCAATTCTCATGACTACAGGAAAACAGGATATGTCTGTGGCGTTTACCTGGCTTAAAAAAACAGAGTGAGAAGTTTTCTGACTTCGATGGCTATCCCTCCCAAGCCGCTAACAGTGAGATAGATGGAGATGGAATTGACAGCGAGCCTCAGCTTGTCTATCAGGAAAAGCACGAGGGGGACGTGACAGATTTGAAGGTGATTGTTTTGTTGTCTTTTACCATTTCTGTTCTCCAACATGTCCAATGTCATTTAATTCCCTCACATCTTCTTTCTTACAGGCCTAGGGCCTACCTTTCTGTTTTAAATTTCAGGCCTATACTTTTTATTTATTCCTTCTGTGTTCCTCTTTTAGGTTGTCTTTCGGGGTTACTAATTTGATTTTGTGCCTTTTCGTTAGGAGCCAGAATAATTGTGGAACATGGTCAATGATGGAAAGGTAGCAGACTAGATTTAACCTACAAATTACTCGCTAAAAAAAAAATTGCCCATTTCAAAAGTTTGCTTTCATGACTTGTCCCTCAGAAGTTCTTCAACACAAATCAGTTTAAATCATAGATCGTCTTTATGTGCCAATTTCTTGCAGTCTTTGATAATTCCAATCCCTTCACTGTTTTCTGTTGTCACACAGTTCATTAATCAAGACATCTTTCTGGCATCTTCCTCTGCCGGGTCTGTCCAGGCGTTCAAGTTGATGTCAGGAACTCAGGTATACTGAATATTTTTTCCTCAGGTTTTTCAAGTAGTTTCCTGAGCATTGTATTTTCTACAGAACCTCTGTTATCTTACTGTGTCTTTTTGTTTCTTGTTCGTGTGTTTTAATAAGGGAATAAATATGTGCTTGGCCGGTTTTAAACGTGCATTTAAGAAGACTGGCTCAGGAGGATGGACACGACTTATGCCCGAGCCACAGGTGAGGGCATTAGTCCTGCGCCAGTCTTAAATGTCACGTTATGACCGACCAAGCACAAATTTATTCCCACTCATAAATACCTTTTTTAGTGAGAGAGTCAAAAGAAGTCAAAATTTGACTTATTTCCAAAGATCTTGTTTTACATTCCCTTTTCCGAGCACCCCACGTTCATTTTATTTGGTAGTTTTGTCTAAAAGAATTCCTTATATGGCGTGCGTGTTGAGCTGCATGCACAGCACGCAGACTCTTGACCAATCAGAATCGATGGGCGTTATCAAATGTTAACCCTAACCCTCCTCAATCCTTCACCTGTCGGAGGATTGAGGAGGGTTTGGGTTAATGTATGTACACGGTCAAGTTGCACGTTGTTGAATAGGGAGACTGTTTAAGGGTTTTTAAGAATGAGCTTTTAATGTATTTTAATGACACTTGTGTTTTCGTTAATTTTGTAAAGTGCTTTGACCTCTCTTTGGTGTCGTATCCAGTGTTAGAAAAAGAATAAAAACATTAAGTAGGGTGAGACTCGTCAAGAATTCACAACTTTAATTTCTCACTGACGAATTAACTTGACTCTTGAGAAAAATGTGCATAATAAAACAAATATGTCTCACAAAATGATGAGATAGATCAATGAAGGAAAAGGTGTAATTTTTCCCGTCACCGATTCTGAGATTTTTTTTGAGGGTCTGAACATGAAAGACTTTGTGTTGGCATTTTTCGTCGTATAAAAACTGTCCGTGTGATTCCATACCCAACACTTTAATAATGGATTGGACTGGGCCAACCAAGCTTGATGTTTGAGTGGCTACAGTGGATGCACCAGGAAACGGGAGGTCCTAGGTTCGAGCCCCAGCCAAGCAAGTCTTGTACACTCTTGTTTGAATGGTTCCGGGCACACCCTGGCTTTGTTAAATGCAGAAGGTGGGATCACAGTCAAACAGGGGACATTGTCCAACCATTAACTTTTATGATCCAATGAAAGTGGACAACATTCCAAGTGACAGGTCATCTGGCCTTGGTATATGGTCGACCAAAAACTGATGTTATTCAAACAGTCTGTGTGTCTAATTTCAATTTGTTATTTAAACAACAGCTAATCCTACTTGTTATTGTTTTATCATTTAACTGGATATCAGAAATTACGCAGGATTCAACAGTGGGAGGGGCTTCACCGACTGCGATCTAGGGCATGTCCATGCACTAGCATGGCTGCCAGTGGGACCGACGTAACGACAGCCGGGGAGGATGGCAGGATTAATGTTCTACGGTTGGAACACGGGCCTCCCATCAGAACCATAGGTAGAAAGATGAGACACAGATCAAATACGCTGAAGCTCTAATGGGTTGCAATGCAGAATTTGACTTAATTTTTTTCATCGGCAACTTCTATCTTTTGTTACAGTTTTTGTAAATATGTTAATGCGAAGACATTCAATCCCCAGTTTACGAATACACGTAAAGTTTGTTCCGAAAAGGTCCGTTTTTTCTTCAAACTGTTTATTTGTTGAAATGACACACTGTTCAGTTGTCAAAAAGTTCAGAAAGACACCAATTCATACCAAAATCAGACGCGTGGACATGAGATTGACCGAACCTGTCACAGTCAAACACTTTCCCCTGTCAGATAAATAAGCTGCATATTTTTTCACCCTGAGCTGCCTGAAAAAATAGTGTGTAACCCACGGTTGACCTCAAGAAGTTTCTAAACATGTCCATGCTCGTATGTCGCCTATTCAAGAGCAGACTTTGATGGAGTAGTTTAATTGTGAACAAAGATAATTGAATCGAGTAATGGTCATGGTTACTCTTCCATACATTTTATGGCATGGGTCAGTGCATTGTCTTTGTCATTTAGTGAATGTCAATGTGATTGTCCCTTCAGATCAAGCTGACAGTTGTACCATCAATGCTGTCACCTATCTGAAATCCAACCAAGTGGTGACCGTCAATGCCACTGGCCAGATGAAGATCTGGGATCTCCGACAACCCGACTCCCAGCCTGTGAGGGTCTTTCTCCTGTAAGTGTTCTTTTTTTAAAGAAGTTTCTCTGCTCTAGGCTGGTGCGCGAAGCAGGGAAAAAGTTGCCACAGGACTCTGATCTCCAGCTGTGCTGCAAAACAGCTAACCTCAGTTCCCTTAACAGCGCTAACCCTGCCAAATGCAATTAAGACACAACAGTGATCAAAACAAGTATACTAGAGCACACTCTTGGCCATGACAGTGTCTGAGCGGCCGTGAATCCCCAGAATCCACGGTCTGCGTTTGTTGCATTGTCCATTGGGCAGGCTGAGTAAATTAACAAATTTGTGAGACAGGAGACAACCTTTGCCTGCCTTGCTGTAGAAACACCCCCGTTTACCGACATCACCCAATGACAATGCCCAGGGTCCTCCCCTGTGCCTGAAGACAGTGATACATTCTTTGGTCTCGAGCTTCTGAAGGGCATCAAGGCCCATGCAAAGGGATAATACCTTGGCTGTGTCTTCCTCAAACCTGGAAAGTCCTCCAAATCCTCTTGGTGGACGCTGGAGCCTCTGGGAAGATCACGGTCGTAAGGCCACCGAAATATGACTAGACAGCTCAGTCGTACATTATTTTTTGGGGGGTTTGGAGGTTCATATCCAACTCTAGATATTCCTAACTTGACACCTTGAAGTTAACATTTCTGACTGATTGTAGTTGTTTTTCTATCACCAGCACTGGTGAGATGACGGCGCTGCATTGCGTGGATCGCCACCCCACCCAGTCTCACCTGGTTGCAGCCGGCAGCCAGAACAGCGTCCTGAACATGTGGGACCTGAGGAGAGAAAAGTACCCCGTCACTCTCTTCGACGGCCATGAGGGACCGAGTGAGTTGATAACCCCCCCCTTCAGCCAAAGTCTTATCCAATTGGCACCGTGCACAGTGTAATCATAGTACACTTATATAGCACAGGAGTCATCACAGGAGTATCGAGGTCCTTCACAGTCATGACCCATGTTGGGTGGGCCATGAGATAAACTCTCAGCAGCGGCTCAAGACACGTGCAAATTGGATTGCTGCCCTCACAGTAACCCATTTATGCTCCTGGGTAGAGAGGGGTAATCGTGGGCAGGTTTGGGCGTGAACCATAGTTGTATCCACTGGTCCAATGCGCACCTGCAATAAAGCCACACCCAAACGGCCCTAGTTGAACTACTTTTGTAAAATCTGCCAATGGCTGCAGCTCTTGCGGCATACATGGTCAGCGACACCTGTACAGTTAATCTCATGTGAAATGGTTCCCTGAATAGTGATAAATTATATTGGCTATTGATAACCAACTTTCCAACCGCGCCCCAGGGCCACGTTCCAAATGGTCAACTCTATGGTCCAAACCATCCACCATTCGGGTGGTGTTGGTCAAACGGAACGCAAGCACCGTGGTACCTGTGAGGGGGTTCAAACTCACGTACCATTGCACGTACACCTGATACTAGAAACTAGAACTGCAGAGCTCTTTTGGTGAAGAGTGGCCCTATTGTGTTGAAAATGGAGTTCTCATGATAATATTCAGTTCATCAGGAATGTCAGGCTGAAAAGCTTCAGTAAGTTTCATTGAAGGATTTAGTGACCGTGATGTCTGGGTATTTTTGGCACTGCATTCCATTTCAGATGCCAGGTTTTGTTCATGTTTTTATTTGAAGGAAAGTTTGGACAGTCATTTTTTCTAAGCGCTGGCTAAACCCCCAGTGTAAGTTATTGACTGGTTTCCCTCATTCGCGTTAACAACCTTTGCTTACGCGATTGTTTCCAAACTTATTTGTCCTTCCTGCCAGTTTGGGAAGTCAAGTTTCACCCCACGTTCTCTGACCATCTCTTCACCTGTTCGGACGATGGCTCCGTTCTGCACTGGAACGGCTCCGGATCCTCTTCAGCTTCTCAGATAGCCGCGCAGAATGCCAGATCTGGTGAGAAAAACGTGTCCCAGCAACTGATGCCTTGTTGTGGTTTTTTATATCTTCAGACTCTTCCTCGAATGTGTTGCTGTACGATGATTGGTCCAAAATTAAGCCTTCATTTTTTATTTGTTTTCGATCGTGGAACGCCCTGTTTGGTTTCAGTTCCCCAGGATCTACAACTGACCATCAACATTTCAAGTCCGTGTTTCTTACAGAGTGTTTCATAACCTATGGGGAGCAGTTGGATTCAAACCCCCTGACCCTCTGATCTTGAGTTGCAACCCCCTAACCACAAGGCCTACACTTTTTCCAGTTGAGGGCAGTATTATTTGGGTAAATTTTTTTGTTTGTTTGTGAAGGGGAATCCATCTACTCCAGCCTTGGTCTTGGCGGACTGCCCACCAAGCCTACGCCCAGCTCACCCACCAGCCCCTGGCTGGCCAGTGACCCCTCCCACCAGGTAGACATCAACCACGTACTGCCCTCCAACGCTATGCCTGTCAACAGCCTCGACGTGGAAGCCGACCAGCTGGTGTGTGGTACGGACGGCGAAGCCGTCTTCGTTGTCCAAAATTTGGGACTCCGTTGAAGGAGCGTCGTCGTTTGTGTGTTTTTTTTGTTTCATGAGATTAATTGACTTGACTGTAAAACCCACTGTGAAGTTGGACATTCTGGGGGGCTTGTGACCTGAGGTCAGCTGGTCATCGAGGTCAGCCACTCAGCCAATAGCTCTAAAAGATCCAGCATATTCATGAAAGTGGGCTTGCCAAGGAGGTGAAATCAAATGCACAGACACCAACAGCCTTAAGAAATGTACAAAATTGACAGAACTGGCACTCGGATTTTCACACTCATTTCGTGCATCAGGAACTGTTAAAACTTTGGATTTGTTAAAGAAATAGTCTTTCCTTGATGCATTAATGAACGAACCTGCCTTGGTGAGGCAACAGGGGACATGTCAATCTCCTTAAATGCACATTTCCAGTGGCCTTAATTAACCACTACGCCTACATGTATTTGTCTGTGATTGGTCATAGTACATCAGGACAAGACTGCAAAGGGCAGTCAGAATGTTACTTTTGCCCAATTTTGATGGGGTAACAAGCCATCCCAAAACTATTTTGAAGTAACTGACATACAAAGACCCACGAGGAATTGTTTATAATCTTTGACATACAACCGTTAGATGTGCCCTGCTTCCCTCTTTGAAAAGTCAGTACAGTGCCTTTAATTTGTACCTGGCTATTGCTAAGAAAGTGTGAAATTTGCATCTGTACCCCTTATCAGTGGCTTACACTGTCAAAAACAGGGGCCATGCCCCACTGGATGGAGAGCGTTTGCTATTTTGTTTTGTTTTGCTGTTTGTTTTTTGGCTAGTTGTTTTTTTTGGGGGGTGGTAAATTCAGTAAATTAGCACTGGAGAATATAGGAAAACATTTTGGGGGATAAAGTTAAACACTTTTATCGCTAAAAATACAATATATGCAAATCTACCGAAACAGAATGGATTTCTGTATCTTGTGGGCGAGGTTATAGTTAAAAATACCTGAATAAACAGTACCCTGTCAGTGTCACAGCTTGTAACAAACTTTCTTTCTCTAAAAAAAATCTACTTTCCTTGTTTTTTTAAATAGACGAAGTTAAAATTTTGAAAGGTACAGCACTTTTTATCATGGTTAAAGACTGTTATAATTATATTATGCTTGGTATTCGGAGGTTTCTGAAATGTTTTGACTGTCTTCCCGCCTTTCAAATTTATTTTGGTACTCCGAAAAGTTTGAGGAATATTACAATATCAAGTGCTCGTCCAAAATCAGAAAACGTAGCATCTGTATGTTGCCGCGCTCTGCTAATTCCCCCACTGCAAAAGGTAAAAGACGCCCTCACTAGGGGCCCTGTGCGGTTGATGCACAGTGGCCGAGACTGTTTAGTCACATGACCGCGAAACTATGTGAACAATGCCTTTGGAGGTGGCTTGCGGGTGTCTACGCGGTGTCAATCAATCAAGCACCTGTAGGTGAACGCCGACATTCCTGACAAGAAATTCATTGACCTGCCTCCCATTCAATACTTGGGGAGAATTTGGGTTGCGTTGCCGCAACCACTTGTGTCGCCAGCGACTTGACCACGCGCCCGTCTCTCCCTAGCTAGCGTTACGAGCAACCATAGAGCAAGGACAGCGATGAAGCAATGAGTACGAGCATGGTACGAGTATGCTGGCCACGAATAGAGAGCGATTAATTTGACTAAAAACTTTCCCTTCGAATTTAAAAATGAAAACGACTGATATTTTTTTAGTCATTTTGTTTGCTGGCGAAGTCTGGCTACCTTTTTTTTCACTCTTTACACGGGCTTTTTGGAAATTGATTTAATCCGATTTATGCAGGGTGCATTTCAAATAATTTTTGTATTCTACTTCGACCTGAATGTGACAGTACTCAATATAAAAAGCAGTTTTTCATTATTTTCGGGCCAATAATTCTGCAATTTGGCTACAATTGCTCGTACACGTGCGAACTGACTTAGCGAATGTTTTCATGATCATAATTAAATTCTCTCTACCTTCAAGAATTTCCCATGAATCTAAGCGAAAACTGCATAATGATTGTCACCCGTATGTACGTGCAGTCTGTAATTTGCGAATTTACTACGGTAGTTCTGAATAATGTAAGCAGGATATCGGCAATTAGGTAGCCAGCACGAGAAAAACAACAGCGAGAATAAGAAAATTAGGTCTTTGTTTGCGAGGCCAAAGCACCTGGAAACAATGTAAGAATCATTCTGGCGGGGAAAAATTGCGAATTCCATTCGGCTGCGGACGACTTTGTAACCAAGATGGCTTCCGTTCGTGCGTGTAATGTGCTGCTGATGTGGAGACGAACGAAGACACACCGGTTGAAACCATGATTTGGTTGCGATTCCTGCATTGTTTCGGCAAAAGAGGCGGTGTGAAGTGGAAAGAGAAAACAGTGAATACTTCTGTGAACCAATTTATAAAATGTAAGTACACATGCTGTGTTGATACACTCCATTTCTGCACCTGCGTACCAGCCGGGTAAGCTATCGCCAGTTGCACATCGTGCTGGAATTTGAAAAGAAAAGAAATGATATTTGGAATGTATGAATGTACCGCACCATACATGCATTTGCTACCGTGCCTCTGTACCATGGCTATATTGTTGTGTCCTACATACATGCCATTCCCTAGTCTGGGCTTACATACATGACAAAGGCTCAGGCCGAAGACACCATGGTGTACCAAGCTTTGTCTATTGTCAGTGATTGTCTACACACCTACAGCCGGTTAGGCCTACGGTGACGATCAGAATGACGGGAATTAATGCCCTGAACATGCTGAAGGCCAGGGCCCAGGGGTAAGCACCTCGAGACATCGTCAACTGGTCAAGCCATGGGCAGGATGGGGCAAAAAGGCAATTTGCCTAATCAGCATCTAGTATGTCTAGGGCCTACATGTTTTTTTTTTAGCGTATCATCTAAAATGGTCGTGAAACATGTCGAGCTCGCTTGGTTTAAGTTTGCTTTACGGTGTAGGTTATTTCCCATCACAAGAATGATATTTCTCTACTGCTGCTGTACCGGCATGCCATATTAAAAGGTTTTCTTTCTACGGACCTTTTCACTTATAAATTCATAATTATGCACGCATGCGCACAAATGGCCTTGGTGGCGAGAACTGTGAGCATGGTGAGTGGGGCACTGGAAAGGTACAGGGGTGCGACTTCGATGATCATTTTTCTCTCAGCCTTTCTGGCATTGTTCAGTTATTCTTCAGAAAATCCCGTTAAATGATTTTCGCAATTAATAGGATTTTCTGAAGAAAAAAATGAACAAAGCCAAAATATCTCAGAGAAAATCATCACCAAAGTTGCACTGCTGTACCATTTCAACGGCCCGCTCACAATTTTTGCTGTCCAGGCCATTTGTGCACATGCGTGCATAATTATGAATTTATTGGTGAAAAGGTCTATTGGATCTAGACCCCTGCATGAAGTCAGAGGCTATTTTTTGTTATTTTAATTTGATTTCAACGAATGCACAAAAGGTTTACTCGAGGCTATCCTAGAGGAAAGAAATGCCCTCTAACTTCTTGGCATCCTATACAGGGGGTCTGTTGAATTGATTGAACTTAATACATGTATGCTTGTGTTAACCATGAAAACAGTAGCCCTACTGGGCCTCGTACTACATGTTACGTACAGTAGTAGCCCAAGCTGACTACTCTTAATAATCACTTAACACAATTGCCCATTTGTATGATTTTATTTGTGACCAGCAGCCTGAGAAAAAGTTGGTGTTTGAAATGTTGCTTCTAATGGATTCAGGGGCAAGTTGATATGGTAATTTATATTGTAGATCGTTGGTGTTACATGTACATGCATGGCATTTTCATCAATACATTGTTAAATTTAAAAGTTAATTTGCAGAGAAGCCAGTTGTTAAAAAGTACCGGTATGTTAAATTTTATCGATGTGATCATGGGACAGCTGTTACGTGGTCGAAAGTCGTAAACCCTCAAACTGGTCTGAAAATTTGGAAGTGTTCACTAAGTTAATGCTTCAACTTTCCCTGCTAGATTGGACTTTAATTACATGTGATGACTTTCTAGTGGCTAATAAACTAGTGCAGCAGAAGATTACCGGTAGTGAGTGATGTCTCTCTTAACCCTAACCGCCAAGCATATTGTTTGGGTTACACTACACAGTACTACGAAATACTAAGTAGTAGTCAGAGCCTGAAGGACCTAGCACTACAGATTACTACTTCTGGCTAGGTTACTTCCATTGTTACTTGTACAGAGAACAATAAAGCCATGCTCTGTATGGTACATTGTCTTTTCTATTTTATCTTATGGCTTCAGAGAACTATAAGGTCACGTCCTCTTTCAAGCGACAGCACTGAATACTACATTTTACTACAACTAGTCATTCGTAGTAGTTATGTAGGGATTAATTTAAAGTGAAAGTTAGCACATTTCCTCCTCCATTAGGACCTGCAGTGAAGAATTTTACCACCACAGAATTATTTTAAATTCACAAATTTATGCCGTACAGAAACATGAAGGATGGGGTTTGTTACACTTGTTGAAGAGAAATTTTACTGCCGTTCATCAGATCTCAGATTCTTTAAAACACTTTCACCCTTGTAAACTCTAATATCTTGTAATTCTCAAACCCTTGGGAGTCGTCAGATTTTCGTCTTGTCTTGAGGCCCACACTACCAGGTTTATCATTTACACACATGTACACTACCAATGAGATCAGAATTTAATAAAAGTAAAACTATACCAGAAAGTGTAGTCTCACTCGTTTTGTAAACCGTAGTTTGGCATTGTAGAGCGTAAAATTGTGTCCTTTCAAATTCCGGGGTATTTGACAAAATTTAACATCTAGAATGGTAATTATGGACAGTGTTCTAGTAAATATGGAAGTGTATTGGTTTTTATCTTCACTTTAAAAACTGCCTTGGCCCCCTGTGAGTGCCAAAAAAGAATCTGATAATTTTTTACTCAGCTGTTCAGAACAGCAGACAAGAGTATCACATGTACATGTACTTTACTGTGGCAGTTTTGATACCGTGCACGATATGGGGCGGATGGGTACCCCCCCACGTGTCCAATCCCTATATACATTCTAGACTATTGTTACCTAACACATCCCCCCCAAAAGTCTGTAAAGAATTCCTGAGATTCCGATCAAATAATGACCAACACAAAGGCGGGGGGGGTCTCTCCGCCCCCCATATCTTGCATCATGTTGGCAGTTTTGGCACGAAATACCGGTATATGCACTCAGTTTAAGCAAGTCGAGGTGCAAATCCTTTTGTCAAAATGCCATTTTCAATTAATTTCCTTTGATCCTTTGAGATTTCTTTCACTGAAGTACAGTGTAGTGTGTCAATTTGTCCACTTTGTAATCTGGATGGTATGGCGGGGCTTCTGATAACAGGTGTTTAATCATGACATTGTGTGTGTGCTTATTAGTTGCTGTTAAGGTCTGCATAATGCCTGGCTGGGTGATTCAACCTTTTTTTTTTTTAACAACTTTCTGTGAAGCTACTCCTAACTGATGCTCTGGCAACACTTTATGTGCATGTGTGATCAAGGTGGCAATTCCAAACATTGCAGGCATGGTTGTAATAGTTTTGGGAATTTGCCTTTTACTGGAATACAAATTGGAACAGGTGTTGAATCAGTACCAAGCAGTGGCATGGAGTTAGATGAATGTGCCTACATGAATGAGGAATTGCAAATATGGTGTGGATTTTAACCCTGACCCTGAAGGACTTAAGACTGTTAGGTTGTGTTGGGCAATTCCAGCTTTTCTTGGATCGATTCCAATTTCATCAAGGAGTTGCAGTGCCACTCGGAAATGATTCTTTTCACTGGCAAAAACGTGAAACAGTGTCTGTTACATAAGGATGTTGTATGCATATTGGTTAGTCACAGAAGGCAACTGTCAAAATTGTTGTGAAAATTGGTGATTTACGAGAAGCACATTGTTGGAAGAAATCAAACATAGCCCCCTTCTGTGTTTGTGTGATACTTTTTTAATGAAATTTAAGGGGAATGGAATGAATTAGTCCAGGGAATTGATTGCTCTCAAAAAGTAGAATTGCAGTTCTGATTCAAAATTTGGAAACGATTCTAATACATTCTTGCATAGAATTTCTCACCATTACTCGTGAGTGCCTACTCTCATGTTAATTTCTACTCATGTGTTAATTTTTTTTGTATCTATTCCATTGCAGAAAGGATGCCATAGTGTAGAGGCTTAGGTAATTAACCAAATCACCGGGCCGCAGGGTACCCTTCCCCAACAAAGGAAAAAAAACATTTGAGAAATGCAGAAGGGGACCCGGCCCCGGAACCTTGTCACCAACCAGCGGCAGATGCTTCTGGAGATCAAGGAGTCACTCCAGCACCTGCACGTGAACCAGGATGCGACGGGGGCCGGTGGCTCAGGGTCGGGGGAGGTGCTGCGGCGGGCAGATGCCGGCCGCAAGCGGTTCGGGGAGCACCAGAAGAAGCTGGAGGTGATCCGCAACAGCCTGGGCCTGCCCAACGGTATGGGCGATCCCCTGGCCACTGCGGGACAGGCCGCCACTGCCAGCCAGGCAGCCTCAGCAGCCACGGCGACGACGACGACTATCAATAGGCAGATGCTGCAGCAGCTGGTCAGCATGGGTTATGAAGAGGTAAGGAGTTAATCTGTGAACATCAAGAACCACTTTGGCACCGAGGTGTCAGCTATGTCAATAAATGTCAGCAATCAGTTATCACTTCAGGATTAGCTACCGTAGAAATTTACAGAGGAAGCCTGTTCTCGTTATGAAAAGAATTATGTGTACTAATAGTAGTCTAATTAAAATTGCAGTGTGGCTTGTGCTGACAGTATTTGTTAGCCCTAACCGTTTAATCAGTTCCTAGGATACAACCTGAATCCTTCAAAAACTTTGACTGTTTGCATGTAAAAGAAGCAGTCTATATTGTCCATTATCTTGTTAGTTCGTGACTATGTTCCTCATAGGTATAATCATTGTCCCAGTCATTCAAAATGTTCCAGCAGGAGCTGTGAATGAAGTGATGCTGTGTGACTGTGAGTGACATATCAGTGCAGAAGCAGTTTTGCTTAGGCCAGATGGGACAGGTTGAGAGATTTCCTGAGGGAAGATACCCGAGTCATTTGTACGTGTATGTCGTTCATGTCCTGTGAGAATGTTTCTTGTTTCTCAAATGAATATTTCAGGACAGGTATTCCTTCTCCTTCCCCCTCCCTTCCCATCCTTGGGGAAAGTGTGGCCTAGTGTTTGCTCACTGGGTTATTCGGGGTTCAAATTCAGCTGCTGGTTGTAGTTTTTGTCCTTGGGCAAGGCACTTCACCCTTATTAGCCTCCTTCCACTCAGGACCTTAAATGAGTATTAATCAGCATCGGTTGGGGAGTCAACCCTCAATGGACTAGCTTCACATCCAGAATGAACAAAACTCTTCTCAATCATTTCATCCTGCTGATACTGGAAATACCGGTAAATACCAGCCTTGATGGGTCATGTCATGACAGACCTTACCCCCCCCATCAAACATTGCTTGGAACAGTAGTGACTGGACCTTTTGTTGCAATTGGGGAGAGTAGTCAGCAGTTTTCGTTCAGAGGCGGTTTCCTTGACAATGTTGTTGAGACTCGACACTCCCGCACTGTTGTTGGCGTAAGCGGTGAGTTTTGTCGAGTCATCTCCAGTTGGCACTGTGAACCACATTGTTGCTACTTGTATGTGTTCAGCCAGTGGAGGCTTGCAACAGGATATTTTCGGGGGCCCTGAGTCACCTGCTTAAAGTGGCACACACACACACACACACACAGTTCGGATGATTTTGCAGGGAAGACAGAACCCGCATTGGCATTTTATTCCCAGAATCCTCGACCTGGTTTCAAAGGCTACACCAAGAAATGTGTTGAAAAGATTTTGCTTTTGCAAAACGTTTGTAATGTTCACTGCCACTGTTGCTTTAAAAAAAAAAAAAGTGGATGTATGGTTCACGGCCCAGCGGGTGAGATCTTGTATAAAAGATGACGAATTCTCTCCCCCTTTGTGATGTAAATGGTGGAATGTGGATTATGTAGGCCCATTGAATGGACGGGCCATGGGGGGCTCTGACTATGGATCCCTGCAATGCCGCTACGCATGACTGAGCCCTCTTTTGTGCTTGTTGAAGTTGTCATCGCCGTGGCAGGCTGAACCCTCCGCTTGTTCTCACTGTTGTTTTTACTCGCTCTGTCTCTCCCTCTGACCCCCTGTCGTACCCCAGGCAGAAAGTGAAGTCACTTTACTTTACTTGGGACTTTGGGAAGGGATTTCTGTCGTGAAGATATTTCGGGGGGGGGGGGAAGTGAAGAGAACAAGGCAACATGAAGACAGACATTTTCATGAATCATGTCTGTGGCATTCAAGGCCGCATGACAAAGCAGCTTGTTATTGAAATCCCAGCCCGGTTTTTAACTCATTACAGAGTTTAAGAATACACGGATATAACATTTCAAGTTCAGTGCTTTCTTCCTGGTACTATTTCAAACGTGCAGTAAAAAGGTTCATTTTCCATGGGAGGATTCATGCGCGTCTGATGTCATTTTGTAACTCATTTTCTGCTTCAGTAGCTTCTAGGATTGCCAGACGAAGGTTCTAAGGTTCCTGACTGCATGTAGCCAAACCATCAAAGCTTGTTCCTATAGCACTTCCAGTCAGTGTGCATGTACCGGTACAGTACTCGCGCACTGATGTCAGTTGAGATATTTTTTCCATGTTCATGTATTGCCTTCAGTTAATTTATGACACCGCATAAAAAAAAAAACAACTGTTAGAGAGCTGGGTGTAAGATGGGACACACTTCTCAAATCTTATTTCCTTTTTTTTCAAAAAAGTGTAAAGATTTGCACATTTCCATGTACAATGTAGGTTTAGCCCGTGTTCTCGGAATATGATTCACAGAAATGATGCAACGCTTCTCTTATCCCCAAGTCCCATTTTTTTCTTTCTTTTTTGTGAAACCAAGAAGGTTTTTTTTTCCCTTTTAACCCTAATGTTCCCCATTCCGTCAATTTACAACAACAGAGTGTATTGAAATTTGACGGGTTGAGTTCTGTGTGCATATGAAACTTACTACACAAACTGTTGGGTTATGATGGGCTGAGTACTGCACAGATGCAGTAGCAGTGATGGGTTTTGACTGAGTTGGGATGGTTGGTATTGCCCAGCAGTACTTGCTGCTGGGTGTTGGGATGAATAATGCTGCTGGTATGGGTGCGCCAGTAAACAATGGGCGTTATTTGGTCATGTACCCGTACTTCAGGAGTAGAAGAAATTGCTCTAGTGTGTTTGGTGACCTTGCTTTTTTAAGAGAAGTCACAGATAAAAGAAAGAAATTTGTGCCCCCGCCATGAAATGCAGTTGTTGGATCTTGAAGGGATGAGTACACTGTGTCCCCATTCCTTGTACATAGCATGTGATCAAGTATCCCCACTCAGCCAAAAATCCAACAGTTTCAATGATGCCTGTTGGAGTTTGTTGGGATGTGTACTGATACAGCAAGTGGGCTGTTGGAATCCGGCGGGTTGAGTACGTATATCCCACCCAGCAGTGAAAGGCTGTTGGAATTAGATGGGTTGAGTCAGCCTTCTAGAAAAAAATGCTGAAGGGGTTAGGGTTAATACAAAACTTGTGTCGGGCATCAAGTCTTAATATCCGAAATGGCTGGGCTCTGCCTTCCTCAATCCTGTAAAATCCTCAAAACCTCTCAGCAGATTTATGAAGAATTTGATATTTGAAGGATTAAGAAGCTTGAGCCTGATTGAGGACCAAAAAAAATACATGTGTAATTTGAGTTTTGATTATAATGGTGCAGAACACCCTATTGGCTGAGAATGTCTTGTTTTCGCTGCATTTTGCAAAAAAAATGTTGTTGTCATGCACAGTACACAGGGTATGTCCATCACTAATCATCCCACCTGTTGTGCTTTGCAGGAGGTGGCAAGTAAGGCGCTGAAGATGTGCCAAAATCGGAGCATCGAGGCGGCCGTGGACACCATCATCAACAGGCTGTCATCCCAAGACACTGGCAGCGACAGTCTGGTGTCCAGTGCCAAGTTCCTGACGAATGGAGGGTCGCGTGTCTCATCAGGTGAGATACCGTAGACAGTGGAGTATAAAAGTAAACAGCCTGCTCTTAGCAGATTTCCTGCAAAGTTGTTTTACCAGTGCAGAAAGCTTTGATCAGTCATTTCGCGCCTCTGTGTCCTAGCAGTAATACACAATGAGAGGGCTTTCCTTAAACCCTAACACTCCCAAATCCTCCAATTTCAATACTATTTTACATGCACCCTAGGGAATTAGGGTTAAACAATTGTTCTTTTAAAGTCAAGGATTATTAAGTGAAACCCAGTCCTGAAGTTGAAGAGGTAGTACCATTTGTTGTTTTGTTGGCAATTTAAGTAAGCAAATAATGCTCATCTCAGATGGTTATGTTTTTACCCTGGATGTCTTGCTGGACAAGTCCATGTTGTGCTTGTTTTTTGGCTGTTAAATGAGATCACTCTCGCATTATGGATTGTAGCTTTACACCTGTGCAACAAAGAAAGTGCATTTTCTGTATTCAGCTGTTCGTGGAGCACGTTATGAGATACTTTGTCCTTTTTCTGCCCAGTTTCGGCCACTGTTCACCGGAAACCAAGCTTCGAGGACCGATCTGGCGGCAGTTCACCCAGCATGGACACTTATCGCTCCGATGCCACACCCTACTACAACCACCCCGCCCTCAAGCCCGACAGCACCCGTATACCCTCCAATCCCGTCTCCCGCAACAACTCGTTTGAGAACTCCAAAGGCCTGCCGCAGTATGGCGTCAGACAGTACACGACCAACGTCGTGATCGGGGAGAGGCAGACTCCCCCACCCGTATCGTCCCAGGGACTGTCCAATCATGTCGGGGGTCAGGGGTCCATCCCCTCACCCAGCGGAGAGTACCGCCTTACCCAGACCAACCAGCCCATGTACACACCCGGTCGCCCCCAGCAGATGACTCATCGGCTCGTCCCTGTGGGGCCGACGAGGCACATACCCGGCAGCATAGGAGCTACATCAAGCTCCGGCACGCAAGGGCAGTCCAGAGACTATGGCATAGTGAGATCAGCGGGTTTGCATGGACTCGGAGGTAGACAAGGTGTCAACGCGGACAGGACTCAAACCGATATACGCACATCGATAGGCACAAGCCAAAGTAACTCTGGGATTGGGAGGATAGGAAACCAGACTGAACAGAGCCAAACGTATTACTCGCAAAGCAGCAACGGCCAGCTGCATCACAAGGGCAGTGTCAACACGAATCGATACTCCACAGGCAGTGACTCTGGCATTTCGAGTGCCTCACCGAGTTCCCTAAATCCCGAAGAGTATCGCTACACTCGGCAGACCATTACGGAGAGTGCGCAATGCTACTTTGGGATATCGTCATCCACGACTACGACTTACACGGTGGGGAAGCAGTTTACTCTTGCTGACCAGAACCCGGTCTACAACATGCAGAGTACAGCACCTCAGTATCACGCAGCCAAGACCTACCTGACGCAGTCAAGCCCTTTGGACATGCATCAGCAGAGTTTGTACTCGCAAGGTCAGATGTCCCAGCGGCAGCCAACCGGCAGTGGCGGCCAGCAGTACGTCAGCCAGAATCACTACGACAAGAGATCCCCGATCGATCACCTGACGGCCAAGCACCTGCAGCAGCAGGGCATGCCTGGCGAGCAGTTCCGCAGCTCGGCCCACATTCTCATTGCACCCCCTGAAGCGCCCCGGTCCCAGCTCCTGGATCAGGACATCATCCACGCCATGATCAACAAGACACAGCCCCCGCCAAGCTATGAGATGAGCACCTTACACCGCCAGCAGCCGGGCATTCAAAGCCAGGCGTCACCGGCGGCAAACAACAGCCCCGCCTCTGCACTCGGCCATGACAGCCTGGTCAGCCAAAACCACATCTTTGTCAAGGACCCTGGCATGGTCAAGCCACCACTGAAACAACCTCCCAGCTACGAGGCCAGCACTCAGCATCGCATGATAAGTAACCCATCCAACTTACCAGGCGTGTCGCTTCAGCAGCCGACCTACAATGCCAATCTCAATAGCTTTCAACCGATCCCATCCCAGAATGTCAACGTTGTGAGTAAACAGCAGCAGCAGCAGCCTCCACCATCCGATCCTCCTCCTCAACCCAAACCGGCCTTGACTATCGTCATTTCCAGGGTCAGTGAGGAAGGAGGAAAGTTACCCCCGCCTTACCGGCTTCCCCAGACTGGGACTATGCAGACCCACTATGGCTCCGCCGCCATGTCGTCCGGTGGCCCGTTGAGAAAGATCTCGCCTCCTCAACCCGCAGCTGTTAATACCACCACTGCCTTACCCATAAGTGCCTACACAGGACCTGTTACGCAGTCGGTGCGCAGCACTGTCGTTCCAAAGCCTGTTCTGCAGACAGCCCACGGTCCTGACCAACCGCCACCCCAGAGGGGCCCCTCACCAGACACTATTAGTACCTTGAGCACCCAGAGCACGCAGAGCTCCAACCGCTCCGAATCCCCTCCCCCGAGGCCCATCTCTCCGCCACTGTCTGAAATATCAACAACGTCCACCACGTCAGACACGGGTAGCGAAGTGAGAAATGCCGGCGCTCTGGACGAACCCCAGGAGAAACAAAAAATTGAATCGCCAGTCCCCGAAAGAAAGAACAAGGGACGAGATACGGACAAATTTGAGTCTCGGGTCAAGTCCTACTCGCCCCAAGCATATAAATTCTACATGGAGCAGCATATGGAGAATATCATGAAGTCGTACAAGCAACGAATCAATCGTCGGATGCAGCTCGAAAATGAAATGGCCCGGGTCGGCCTGTCTGAGGAGGCCCAGAACCAAATGAGGCTCATGCTGAACCAGAAGGAGTCCAACTACATTCGGCTCAGGCGGGCCAAAATGCAGAAGAGCTTGTTTAAGAGGATCAAGACTTTGGGCATCGGGGCCTTCGGGGAGGTGACCCTGGCGCGGAAGATTGACACCCGGCAGCTGTTCGCCATCAAGACCTTGCGGAAGGCCGAGGTGCTGCAGCGCAACCAGGTGGCGCACGTCAAGGCAGAGCGGGACATCCTGGCTGAGGCGGACAACGAGTGGGTGGTCAAACTTTACTACTCCTTCCAGGACCAGGAGAACCTGTACTTTGCCATGGAGTACATCCCCGGCGGTGACCTGATGAGCCTGCTCATCCGGCGGGAGATCTTTGAGGAGGACCTGGCCAAGTTCTACATCGCCGAGCTGGTGCTGGCCGTGGAGAGCGTCCACAAGATGGGCTTCATCCACCGGGACATCAAGCCAGACAATGTGCTGATCGACAAGGACGGTCACATCAAGCTGACTGACTTTGGACTCTGCACAGGGTTCAGGTGGACGCACGACTCCAAGTATTACCAGAAACGTAAGTTGTTGTGTGTTGTACTTCTCACGCCAGTATAATGCGCAGTGTATTATCCACTGTTGGATTCGTTCCATTCGGCAGCATTCACATTTCACTTGTGCCAGAACTTGTACATATCAAGAAAGAAGGGCTCTCCACCTTGCATTGTGTTCGCAGTATGTAGCTGAGCGATGAGTGTTTGAGACTCGTGGTGAGAAGGTCAGGGATCCAGCCTAGCTGCTGGACACATCTTGTGTCCTTGGGCAAGGAACCTGACCGCACTTGCACCTCACCTCCCAGGATGACAGTCTCATTTGAAGCTTTCACTAGAACGATTTCAAGCCATTTCCCAAATAAGAAAAGAAAAACCAGTGTTTTTTCTTCTTTGATATTGTTTGAAATTTTAGTTTAACATCTTGTTTAAGGCATATTTTTTGTGGTAAATAAAAATTCTTCATTGAGCCTGTCTTGAGTAACATACTTTGCATGACACTGACTGGTAATCTGTTTTCACTAAGCAAATATTTAACCTGCTGAACAAATGTTGGCTCTCATTTTCTCCTTGAAATTATCCTCTGGTGATCATTTTTGTAACATTCTCTTTTTCTTTTTTGTAACAGAGGGTCACAGCAGGCAGGACAGTATGGAACCCAGTGAGGAGTGGGGCGACGCCTGCCGGTGCATTGACAGCGGCAGTGGTGGCAGCAATAAGAACGGCGAGTTCAAGGTAGGCCCGCGGATGAAGACCCTGGAGCGGCGGCGCAAGCGGCAGCAGGAGCGGTGCAAGGCCCACTCGCTGGTGGGCACGCCCAACTACATCGCCCCAGAGGTCCTGCTCCGAGTCGGTGAGTTGTCCCACATCCCACGACAAATTTCAGCAGACTTTGCAAGTTTTTGACTGTGGGTAAAAGGTTAGAGCATCACTTTGTTTGTCGTGATGCGGCTTGTTTCCCTAGTTGCCTGTTAACTCACGGTCTTGAATTCTCATTCAAGGAACTGGTTGTCGTTAATAATTGGCAAAGTAAAACCATCACTAAATTCAAATTTTATATCTGTTGCTTGGCACATCAACTACGATGTTACATTAAATTTGCTTATTTCGACAGGGTGCACAGTTGCAATAAGTCTCATGTCTGGTGTACATTGGTAATTCTCAGTTGTTTTTTTCTCCCACCGTGCACAGGCTACACACAGAAGTGCGACTGGTGGAGTGTAGGAGTCATCCTGTACGAGATGCTGGTGGGTCAGCCACCGTTTCATGCCGACTCTCCGGCGGACACACAGTGGAAGGTGAGAGCACAGCAGAAAGTCACATCCGGATCAAATTGACATTGACCTGGAAATTGTGTATGCCAATTCCCTGAAGTAGTTTTCAGAATTGGTATTGCTTAGCCGTTAACCTTTTCACATGGCATCTTGGGATTCCCATGCATGGGTGTTGCACATGTGCAGAATGTTGCCCCCAATGAGGGGTGGTCGTTCCCTCGTTGGTTCATGCGCGAAGCCCATAGGCCGTGCAAACAGGCCTTGGCTTGTCCAGCCCGGTCTGCCCCCGAGATGCAGTTGCATTCATTCTGAGAAATTACTGTTTTATCCGTTTTTGTCCGCAGGTGATCAACTGGCCCACTACGCTGCACATCCCGCCCCAGGCCAAGCTGTCGGACGAGGCCTCGGACCTGATCCTGTGCCTGTGCCGGGACCAGGAGACACGCTACGGCGCCGATGAGATCAAGCACCACCCGTTCTTCCGCCACCTTGACCTGACCACCAACCTGCGCCAGACGCCCGCCCCTTACCGGCCCACCATCCGCTACCCGACGGACACCTCCAACTTTGACCCGGTTGACCCCGAGCGGCTGCGGGCTGACTCCAACTCCAGCGGCGACAGCTGGGACGATGGGCGTCACAACGGCAAGAGTCGGCCAGGGTGCGGCGGGCTTGAGAACGGCAAGCACCCTGAGCACGCTTTCTTTGAGTTCACCTTCCGGCGGTTCTTTGATGATGGCGGCCATCCTTACCCGGTCCCCGTCGAGGACTTCATGAATGGCAGTGAGGAGACAGAAGCAAAACAGGATGATCCCTCGAAACATGACAGCCACGAAGCCCAAGAGCCAGTCTACGTATGAGTGACAGTTAGGCTATACAACTCCTAGCCACTGCGATGTGTCACTCATTTGAGCAAAAACAAGCTTTCACTGCATTCGACGATGCTGGACATGTAACTGTTTTTGACATTTGCATTTTTTTCAAGTTTCAAAACTTGGGAAAGTTAACCAAAAGAAGAAATTAAGATTGAAGGTGACCTAAAAAGGATAACTTTGGTAACAGAAAATCAAACAGTTTAATCTGAATGTGAGAAATATTAGACCCCTTGAGCATTGCCTGACCCCTGAAATGCTACCTCTTGAAAACACCTCGCTCTATTCCGCAGAGTTTGACATGGACATCAAGTCATGTAACAAACTGCATGTACAACGTAGCAAAAAGGCAGAGAAATGACTAGTACAAGGCGAGACAAAGCCAAAAACTTAAAATTTCTTGGAGGTAATAGTTTTATTGGGACAGCTTGGGCGATTCTGTAGTTAGCACACAAATCAATTCACACCAACGTGAGTTGAGATACAATTCCCTTGCTGTTTAACAGACCACGGGCCAATTTCATAGAGCTGCTTAAGCACAGAATTTGCTTAAGCATGAAAAAACCTTGCTTAATAAGCAAAGGTTACCAGCTCAAAATCATATGTGATTGTTGTGCTAACCAAAAGATCAGGTACCATTCCAAAACATTATACATCACATGGAGTTTTGGCTGGTAACCTGATTTGTCAAGCAAGGTTTCATGCTTTAACAAATTTTTTGTTTAAGCAGCGCTATGAAATTGGCCCATGGACCTCCATTCAAGTAATGGAAAGCCGTTGAAGGGTGTTGCAGAGCAAGGGTTGAATACAGAAAAGCACATCATCCTGTAAAGCAGTTTAAATTTCCAATCACGTTCACCCTTCAAAGACTTCTGACACCTACTTTGACTAAAACTGTGCTTCAAAAATCTGCGCCGTCCCATTCACTGGCGCCGACACGCCACTGCAGTCAGCTGGCTGTTTTCTCCCGGCCAGTGTTTTGAACCCGACGCGTGAATGAGTTCCAGCTTACAGTCGTACGAGGCACCCTTTGCCGTAGCCCGCCTGATGCTTGTTGCATATCTGGGGCGGCCTTCGGTGCCGTGCCTCAAGAATGCGAGCCGGCTCACTTTACAAGTTGCGTCAATCCCGTTCAGACAGCAGTTGGCTGTATTTTTTTTTTAAATTCCTTGTGGACACCTTGGAGAGACTTGAAGTTTACTTGCCTGGACATATTGTTGACATGGGGTGTCGGAGATTCAAGTTTGTCACTGGAACTGAAGCCACTTTTTCTTATAGTCACCTATTGAAACTTTACCAATAGATTATATGTCGTGAGAAATCAATGAACATTACATCTAAACATCACCTTTTGGAGTCTGATTTGTGTTGGATCAACTGCCACATCGTGTACCACAAGGTCACTGTTGCAATTTCTATCTGTAGCATTGGATAAAAATGACATTTGAAGGCAAAGATATCTTTGAAAGCACTTAAGCGATGTTTTTTCTTTTTTTTTCTGAAAGTAGCTACATATAATTCGTTTGCAGAGCAGTCCGGTTCTCAAGGAAAAAAATACAATGAGATATGCCTTCAGAAACTGGCCGAAACAGCTGGTTTTCTTGTCTTCGTGGTCATGATTTCTCAGAAATTCACACTCACGCTGGAATGTCTTTCATCAAATGAAAGGACGGTGGAGGAATCCCCGAAATGCCGGACGGAAGTTGACCCAACTGTGCCTGTACATTTCTCCCCGAGAAGCCAGTGTATGTATAAATATTTGGCCGTGGCTAAGAAATTCCTGACATTCTTGTGAAGAATTTTGTCAGTCGAGTTTAATCCTGAACTCCCGCCAGTCTAACTGGGCCCCCGCTGTATTCGGTCGAAGGAGAAGAGGGGAGTACCAAAGAAAAGAGTTGGGTAAATTCTTTGGTATGTAATCTCATTCAACGGTGTGTTAATAGTGGGGTGAAACATGTTTTGCTTTTCTGTACGGTGTAACTTAATGCAGTAACCTATATTCTAAATACACCCTTGCATTCAAAGTGTAATTTTCTTTTGTAATTATTATTCAAAAATCAGATCCAGGTGAAAAGTTCATTTTCAGAGTGAATTTTTTTTTTGGGCCCTCCGTTTTGTCAGGGAAGAGTTCAAAGAACGCCCACACTGAGACAGTACTTAACATAACTGCATGTTATTGTTCATTTATTTAAATCTCCTGCCAAATTGTCAGTGGGATATTTCAGCTCCAAATTCTGACTTTGATGAGGTTTCATACTTTTTTTGAACCCAGTTTTTGTGAAAATCGTGTTTTTGGGGGGTTTGATATTTTTGGGTCAGTGTTGAATAAAATGACAAAACTGTGGTCAGCATTCTGTTTTGTAAACATGTTTTTATATTGCAACGCAAGACCTAAAATGTTAATGAACGATCTTTGCCTTTTAAATAGTTGTAAGAAAAACTGTACAGAGTATTCGAAGTGAAATCATGTTCAACTGTAGCCAGCATGCAAAATTAATGTTATATATGTTGTGTATATAAAATAACCCGTTACAAGTGTAATTACTATGTGCCTAGTATTTGCTCCTGCTAAAGGATGGATTGTGAACAGTTTGACATTCAGTAAGATGTAGTATGGATGATACAGCAGATGGTTCCTCGGTAACCACCTTTCCTTGCACAGACAACAAGCTGTTCTTGAATGTATTCCTTTCGCTTGTATTCACTACCAGTGAGGATTCATTCCTGTTGACCTGTGTTGGACACATTTTCAGGGGTTTTTCAGATACACCTGTTGCACTGCTTGCGAGGGTTTGAAACTGTTGAATTTCATGTACTCGACATGGTTACTGGAAGCCGAATGCACGGTGGTGTAGGGGGAATCCCTGCCCCTGGTATGAAATTTTGACATGCACACAACATGCTCAAGTCGTATTAATTGGCTTTCGGTGTCTCCCTGAATAAGTATGCACCCTCACGTGTGCTCCTAGGAAGTCACCACGGTTAGAGCGCTACAAATGCGGACCAGATTGAGGCAAACTGATGTGTGGATGGGTGTATTCCGTGCAGCTCTGATCAAGGAAGGTAGTTATCGCAAGGACGTCCGGTCTGTATCCTAATCTTGCCCGGGGGATGACCGTGTAAACGTTTGTAACCAGCGAAGTGACATAATCGTGCAGTTCTTGTGGTATATTTCTGTGGCGTTGCTGCTGCCGCAGCTGTTTAAAAATGGTGTCCGGTAGTGTTGAGAGAGTTAGCCAAAACAAGAAAAAGAGAGAAATTATTGGCAAATGTTTGTATACATGGTTCGGATGAGAAAGTGTACATGATTGTACAGACTGAACGGGCAATAACGTCGACCAGAACGACCAAGTGTTTATAGCATCATATATTGTATGATATTGCCAGAGGCATATGTTGTATTTGTGTACAGACGACAAAATTGTATTATTTCCCCCGCCATGTCTTTTTTGTTTTGTTTTTGTTTTTTTAAATTAAAATCCTGATGCAAAGCTTCTTGTGATGGCCTTGTGTATAAAAGTGACATCACTCGGATTGCTCTTTCTCTCTGTGTGTCTTGTGGTCTTACACATGAGTCTGGGAACGCTGTAGAGAAACCTGGTCTGGTATCCATGAGTTTGTCTGCATTGTCACTTTGTGGCATGGTGTCTTGGCTACCAGACCAAGATGGCAGCCGCCCTGACTCGGCAGTACTAAAGTCCAGAGCTTTCAAGAGGTGGATAAAAAAATCGTTAACATGCATTCATGGGCTGTACTGCCACAAACTGTCTCAGTACTGTTCTGGACGTTGTATTTGTCATACTCTCCTTGTTGATTGTGAAGAGAATAATTTTGAAAAGTATACTTCTTGCATATCTAAATGTTTCTCAATATTTGATAGCATCCAGGCTTAATAGGCTGTTGCATAGTCATAGACAAATTCATCTTTTAGCCTATCAGAAAAAAAGAAACAGGTGTCTCAAGTATCAGAGACACCTGTATGAATATCAGAAGCGTACTGAAATCTCAAAGAATTTCAAAATTATTCTGGTGGTATTCAAGAGTGTAAACACGGAGCAGTCGCTTCTTCCTCACATGCAATCTATTCAGTACCCAAAGAACTTCCACGACACCATTTCAACAATTTAGAGGCAGTTTCTGTGGTCAGAGGAAAAAAAAAATCACAGAATCTGAACGAGAATTCTGAGCTTTTCATGTTTGGTAGCCTGGATGCAATCAAACCAAACGTAATCGACTAATTTAATCTTGCTATTCTGCTAGCGCCGCTTGCTTCAAGTATTAACAAGAGTGCTGGTCACTTGATTTGTACAAAGAAAAAAAACGCATCGAATGTAGCCTTGCGGGAGTGTTCTGAGCACCGTTGATTATAACATAGGGTGTAGAGATACATGTAACAAGTGCTCCAAAGCTGCGGAGCACAGACCATTAAAACTATTGAGGGTCAAGGGCTATTTGGCTCAAGGGTGTCCAACCTCTATATCAAGTATAGGCACTTCTTGAACAGTACAGTAGAAAGAACTTCATAACAACTGGTTGCGGTCCTGTATTTTAATATTAAAAGTACACTGGCTGGGTATTCATTCAGCAAATTTTTGGGCTGCATCTGTGAAGAATGATGACACTTATATTGTAGCAATTCTAGAATTGTATTCAGCATGCACAAAACCATATCTGGGTTTCTTTTGCAACTGAGGATGCTAAAAAATTTGAAATTCACAATCCTGATTTTTTTTTTTTTTAGATTGGAACAAGCACATCGAGACACTGCAAGGGCATTTTTTTTTTCAAGAAAACTCATCTCCGGTGTCGGTAATTTTGGTAGATTTCATTTTGTTGAGTAAGGAACTTTGCGGATGCCTTAACTGTACAGTCGAACACTATTAACACTTCCTACTAACCTGTCTTTTGCGAACAGGGCTTAGGCTTGTCTCTTGCAGCATTTAGTAAAGCTAGACGGCAAAAAAGCACACACACAAATTGCGACTTTTGAGATAGTGTCTATCTCGGAAATAGTTGTTGCGTAGACTCGCATGGCACAGTCGTAGATTCTACCTCGACTGGCGTCATGAACATGTAATTTTGCCGTTGCTCGTATTGCGTTAAGTTGACCTCACATTTTTGTTTAAATTATGTTGGAATTTGTTTTTAAACGAAAAAGACCTGTGACAGAGTTAAAAGAAAAGTTCTAAAATAAATTTTATTGACAGAAAAGTGGGAGGCTTTGCATCTGGAGTTTGTCAAGTTTGTTCTGGTTAAAAACACACACACACACACGACTTACATTCTTACTAGTTGTGGACACAAAACTGACCAGATTGGTCAGAGACTCAATGAAGACAGCAAAATGTTTGTTCTGATCAATTTTGGACACAGAGAATCAAATTACACGGTTTTCCCATGATGGGAATACCCTTTAAATCGATGCTCTGTATACACGCTTTTGGAATTGTTTGAGTTCTAGTAACCAAACTAAAAATATTTCGGTCAGAGTTTCAAAATGAGGGGTGTGCGAAATCGGTAGGTATTTTACCTAACATTAGAACAAATTCAATTCAAACTAGCTCTCTGAAATTCCCTCATGCAGTCAGGAGTATATAATTCTTACAAAGTGAACATTTGAATACGGTTGAAACAAGCCACAAATAAACTCTGGCAATACATGTATGTATTTGTGTCGGCCATCTTGAATTGAAAGAGAAGTTAACTTTTCATTTTTGGAGCCTGAGAGTAAAAATGACAGCAATGAAACCAAAGTTTCTTACAAACTAATGCCAGTTTGAATAATTTATAATTTGTGATACATCTAAATGTTTTAGGCCACCTTGAAAAGAGTGAGGCTTAAAATAAGCCTGGCAACAATCCGTTCACCAGATTGCACTGAATATGATAGATTCAGGGAACAAGATCAAATATGGCTCCCGTGAATAGGGTCTATTGCAAACTGTCAAAATTTGAGGCAATGTTTTTTTGGGGGGGATCATGGTGACTCCTTACAGTCTCCATCCCCCCCAAAAAAGATGGTATGACCTAACGGACCTCATTTCACGGCATCATCACCTTCCCAGGAGGCGCCTCGGGGGAGGGAGGGTACTGCCCTCCACGGGGATGACCTTGAAGGACCTGAAATACTCCAGGATGTGGGTGGTGTCCGTCAGATCCAGCTTGTAGTCGGCAGCCAGTCTCTCTGCCGGCCATTCCTATCAAGACGGAAAACTTGCAGTTAAAGGTATAGGACATTCACAATCAGCCCGTGTGGATGCGACGGCACTGCCTGCCCCCGCATTGTGCATGAGATCAGCTCTCAAATTTATGTCTTGGAGCGTTCTACGGATTGACAGGAACACATGTATACTAGTCATCGTTATCAAGGCATGAACTAATAACAGAAACCTCCGATATACTTTTGAATGTGTCTGCTAATGACTAAAGTTTGAACAAGCACATATTGCCTATCGTTCTTTTCTTTTAAAGGTGCCTGTTCTCAGGATGAGACACTGCATCTGTACAACATACCTTGGGATTGCGTTTGTGTTTGGCGAGTATCTCCAAGGCCATGGGAACCGTTAACCTGCCCTCGGGTACTTCATCGGGTACTTCGAACATCGTGGTGACCTTGGGAAGGGGCTTCCTGCTTGTGGGCAACCTGCGCTGAGGGCTGGACCCGGACGCTTTCGACTCCGCCCCCTCCAAAGGCTGCGACAAAAGAAAGGGTGAGCATCCTATTTCATACATGGAAACATTCTGTAAACCCAGTTTCATCAGAAACGTGTGGTTCCATGATCTACTTCCAGACAGCATTTGCTGTTATCCCAGATGGCACTGATGCTACTTAACAAGGAGATATCCAGACCAATTTTGGCTTTTTTGGGGGGAGAGATGTTGTCAAGGAGGCCAGTAAATTTGAAATTTTTTTCACGTAACCTTTTACAGCCTTTCTTAGGGGTAAGGCTACATTTTGGGGCTTTCTACACACGTTTTGAAGGAAACTAAAAACCACCCAAAAATCTACCTTCCTTTCGATAAAAAAATTCGGCACCTGTTTTGGTGCCTCTCCTTCCCCTGAATCTGTCGATCATAGGGCCGGAGATTTGAATCCAGTGACGGGCATGCATTGTAACCTTGGCCGAGTCTCTCTATCCACCAATCGTCTCTTTGCACCCAGGGTACATAAGGGGTGCCTTTGAGGGCAGAGATTGTTACTGTACATGTTCAGCTATTTGCATTGTTTGTGTTCCTTATAGTTCCTCCATTGGTGGCATCAATGGAGCTCCGTACTCCTGAAGGAGCTGAGATGGTTTCAGGACTGCTTATGATGAGTCCGATGAGCCAGCACTTTCGGATAAGCCTACATGCACTCTATAATTTGTAAATCTCCATTAATTTCCATTACTTTGGGTTGCTCTGGGTCTGTTGAATCCACCCTGACATTCTGCAGGAATCCTAACAGCCTCTCATCTTTTTTCTGTTGTTTTTCCAAGACATCTGGATTCCCTGAAAAAAAGAGGACAGGCAAGTAACCTGACCAATCGCAATGTCACTTGCTTTNAAATCAAATGCAGCCGGATATGGGGCCTGCATTATTCGTGCCTGCTATCTGTAGCGCTACAAACCCTACACGACTGGTATCCTGGTTTTGTGTGTATCAATTATATTACCATCCAGGAACCAAGGAATGGTCAGCACCTGTGCGAGACATTGATATATGGAACTATATCCAGAGAATAAGGTACCAGACCACTCTCTGCATGCCATACCACGTGTTTATCAAATTTAAGCCTTTCTTGTTGATTGGAATTTTATATTGTGTTGAATGTGTGCGTGACAAGTAAAAAAAAACAACACAAGGTCTGACCATGGAGAAATAAAACACATTATTTCTCCATGTTCTGACCCATTACCTCCAGTCGTGGCATTCTTTGCACTCTGTCATGCACTGTTGCCATTCACAGTTTTGTAAAGTAATGGAAACTAACGTCCACTAGTGTGTACATTAAATGTTTTGAACAAAGTTGTTCCCGTTGCCGGTTTTTATTTGTTTTTTTATTTTCTACTTTCATAGAGTGTGGTTTCAAAAATAGAGATCCCAGGTCTCCCCGATGTCTCCACTAATGTTCCACTTCGTGGCAAAGCCTTTTGCCAAGCACATTGTACAGTGGCAGAAAAGTCTGACATCCCCACTGGAATCCATGAATTCCTTAAGCACTGTGGTGTGCAAGTTGCTGACACCATTAAATCAGGTTGGTGTATTGTATACTCTTAAATTGTATTTAATGTAAATGTCAGTAAATTTCTGCTTGGCAAGTCTTAACCACTTGCTGCCTGAGTCAGTTGTCAATGTTGACGATGCTGGACTGGGCTAATTATCTTTTTTTTTCCAAAATTCTTTGAAAATTACTCCCTTCATTTACCGGAAACTTGCATCCCCACGAAGGACAGACAAAATCTATTGACACCCGAGTATTTCAGCCAGGCCTGCAGCCTTTTAAAAATCAAGTTAGATTATCTCCACTTTTGAGAGTGAAAAAATGTCGGTACGTGTCTGGAACCGGAATCCCTGGCAGGAATTAATTAAACATACATTTAAGACCGATTCAGGAGAATGGATGCCTTTAATCCTTGAGTTTTCTTCTGTAAGACGGGCCAAGTTCATTTTTGTCTTAAATGCCTAGTACATGTATGTCGTGGAGTAAAATGTAGTCAATGCATGATTGAACTCATATGTCTTCGTTTTAGAATTTCATGTTCCCACCATCCTGCTCATGTTATGGCGTATTCATTGTGTAATTTTTTCCTGATGAAGCTCCATATATTAATCTGGCGTGCCATGGCACATTTTGAGCATTTAGTGAGATATGGTTGAATAAAATTGTCCTTTTTGCAATTGCCATTGTGCTTTCATACATTGGTTATTTTCAAATTTCAGCCCATCAACTCTCAGCTTGCTGAGCACAATGTTAATACACGGTAATATTGTGCAAATTTAATAGGCAATTGTCCCAGATAAATTTTTGGTCATTGACGTTTGATATATTGTTATCGTAATATTGTCAGATCTAGTACATAGCAAGATATCCATGTACCTGTTTGACTGATACATAATTTTTTTAAGCGCATGTATGCAAAGTAGTACATACAATTATCAAGACCCACTGCCATTGCATTGACACATGGGTGATTTTCTGTTCTACAGATACTCAAGAAGGCAGAAGTCGGACACATTTAGATGTTGAAGACAGAGGTATGCAATTTTACATTAACTTTTCCTTTTTTATTTTTGGTTTTGGTTCACTACATAATGCAATTGTGCTTGTTTTTACCACCTCACTGTTATGTAATGATTTTTTAATTGTCCATTATACAGACAATTTAAGCAGTTTCCTTTCAATGCATTGGCATGAACCTTTTCAGATATTGCTACGGAATTGATGTGTCACTTAAATGCGAAATGGAAAATCTACAGTACAACTCCTTTTTTGTCATACTTTTTAGATTCAACCCACGTCGATGAGAGCGAAGAAGAGCTTGAATGTTTGACAGACTCTCCAGTTGAAGGTATGGCTCTCTTGTTACCTGTTGAAATTTATAAAAGTTTCAGAAATGCATGTTTAATGGAATATGGATAGTTTCTTTTCTTTGTGGGTCATTTTACTCGAGCTTATAATAAATGTATTGTTATGATTATTACAATTTCGGTTAAGCTATTAAAAAAAATGAAAAGTACAGTCGATAATGGCGGTACAGGGCCAGGCATTGAGGATGAAGGTGTTGTAGTTAAAGATAGAGGAGCGTTTTTGTGTAGGATTTATATGGAGAGAAAGGAAAATGTACTTCATTTAGTTGTGAGTGTAGCCAAATTGCCCAGATGGATTACAAGGGAAGGCATGAGAAATGAGTCAAGGTAAACTGCTGGGATATTTGTCAGAAACATGCAGTTGCTGTGAAGGGGAAGGTAATAGATACAGCTGATTCTAAGGTGGCCAGATGTTGTAAATACATGTATGCTGCAGATTTGTGCAACAGATGATACCAGGGTTGCCGGCGAGGTAAATGAGAACGTCCATAAGTACCATGGTTTGGCAAAGGACATGTCAAAGTTTTTGGACTCACGCATGAAGGTTATTCGGTTTGTTGTTGGTTTACTTGGTACCATTCTCAGATATCTTGAGAAACACTTTGACGAGATAAGCACAAATGTGATAGTGGAAATGTTGCAGAAAGTAGATTTTCTTGGCCACTGTTCGAATACACTTAAGATATGAGGGTGGGTGATCTGCCCTGTATATATTCCAATGGTATAACAAATAATTGACCGAGATGAGGGGCCTATTTGTTGAAAAAGGTGCCAAAAATCCGTGGAGATTTTTATGGTTTTATGGTTGGAGATGAGCATGGATTGTGAACTTGGCATCATGGTGAAGGGGGATGATCCACAGAGTTTTCCTCGTAAAGACTGATAAATTTGGGCACTTCAGATGCTTGTACTGGTATGATGTAGGAGGCTTAAAGGGCATAGTATGTTTTGTCCATGAACAATGTGTTCGGTAATGTGAATTTTCTTTGGAAACAGGGAACAAATACAAAACTGCTGCAAATTGCTTGCTGTGTCCCAATTTTTCTTAGACTTGGAGCAAAACCATGGAACTTCATAGTGATGTTGTGTGTGTACATCAATATCATATAATGTGCATACGTGCATGCATGTACATGTACATTTATGATCTGGTACATGTGCATGCATGCACATTCATACATGTATGTACAGTGTACATATACATGTTCATATATGTACATGTGTACATGTACAAATAATACTATTTGAAGATCATGGATTTTTTGTCATGGTCCTGTCTCACCCCTGTGTAAAAATATATGTATTGTTATTGGCCCCAAAAAATATTGGCGTTGCCTATTTTACCATCTAAAATTAATTTTTGTTTGGTTAGTATCACCCTTTTTCTGCTCATATGTAACCCTGAATTTTAGTTGTTTATGGATAGGAATAGTTTTTCTTTTTATGTGTTGTCTGATATTTGCTTCACCTTTCTGGTTTGTCATTTCAATTGCTTTTCAGATTCAACCATCCGTAATGTTGACGCTGTCCTTTCCAGCGTGAATGCCAGTTTGGATGGATCATCTGTTGTTGATGCTCAGGGTATGTATCTTTGTTCCCCAAATGCAGAATTCAGTTTTTGACCTTCCAACATTGACCATAGTTGTGAGTCCCAAGTGAATTTTTATTTTTATTTGAAAAAGTTGTTGCTTTTGTAACTTGTTGGCTAGATAAAAAACTGCTCATGTGGTTCACTTTACTGTTAAACATTTTCTTCCCAAATATTGCTGTTAACTGTCTGTTTCCTGTCCTCAGCATGTTTCCACTACCCAAAGGCATTAGGCCTCCGTGGTTGTCTGTAGTGCATCCCTGTTTTATCACATCCACGACTTATAGACACATTTTTTTCCTCAAATTTGAAGCTTTTACTAGTAGAAGTAGCAAGTTAACTGGATACTTTTGCGGCCATGCCATGGATATTTGTCTTTTTGAATATGGAGGGTTTTTGAAAGAAGTGAGTGCCCATTTAAAACCACTAAATAATTGTCCCTGTATGAGATTTCACATAATACATGTACATGAGACTACAGATGCTAATGTAAGTAGTTTGACAAATAATGCTCATTTAAACATACTTACACACACCTGATTTTTTTTCCCTCTACATCATCACTATGCTTTCAATGTAGGCACTTTGAGTTTCATAGAAGAGAACTCTCAACAAATGCCTGCTATAATGGCTGGTTGTGAAGAAGAAAACCCGATGTCATGCAGAAAGGATACTGGTGGTAGGAAATCACTCCAGAAATGGAGCCGAGGACACTTGTTCATTGTCTGTGCTGGTGGGCACATTGAATACTGGCAATCCTTGTACAGGTTAGTTCAGATTATTTCTTGCACGAGTAACCGAATCACTGTATATCATGTTTGTTGTGCCATAGTGTACAGTGTATATGTAATTATTAGCTGTGTCTTTTTAATCACTTAAAAGAGATGCTGCAAACATTCCTTTGTGTTATTTGTTCCTTATGGGTAATTACTTAATGTATATACATGCCTATTCTTGTAATGGATTTAAAGTCCTTAACAATATGTACTTATGCCTAAAACAAGCTCTAGTTTTTACTGTGATGCTGTACTGTAGGCGAAAGGTGGGGACAATGGTCATGACGTATAACACAGGCTAATGCTATAACCATGCCAATTCCACATTGTCAAAACATTGTAAACAAATCGATTGCCTGACTACCGTGAGCTAAGCCCATCACAAATATGGAGGGCCAGACACTTTGATTTGAGCACAATCTTGCTGAAAGGCAAGAGCCTTGTATGAGTATTGGTGTTTGAAGGAAGAGGGTAACAGACAGAGACCACTCCGTTTTGTATCTCAAACTCAAAACAAGTGGCTGGCTTTCTCGCTTCAGTAGTCTTTGTTAGCAGCTTAATTGCAAAGAATGAAATGAATTTAAAAGAAAACTGAATGTGACATCCCAACTAATAATACTCTGTTCTTATGTAGTGAATACTACAGTATGTCTCTCTGAATATTATCCCTCAACACTGGGTGCCCATCATCTGAACATTCCTGATGCCATCTCTAGTATTCTAGTCTAATGCTGCCATTTTACTGGAAACTGCTAAACATAACCATGTCTGTCCGCACTCCTGGGTGGCAAGAGATACATTGGGGTTAATTGACTTGCCCAGATCACATCTTGCTGCCATCATTTGGATATGAACCCCCGACCCTATGATCATAATCTACAATTCCGAACCACCAGGCCACATGGCCTCCTTTAATAAAATTACGTTAAAATAAAACAGACACCAATAGCATTTTTGTTTGTACGAAATTTTATTGAAGCGCATAAAGGTGCGCCCTCATGTGATGAAAAAATTCGTCTGACTCATCGGGAAACCCCGCCCGATTACGCATGTGCAAAGTGCTGCATTGTGGTATCAGAAATGGGACCACCACAATGCATCACACATTCACAACGCAAAAGAAAGATTTGCCACACAAAGGTACACAGTTTAAACGATTTACAGAACATGTTAAGTGTCACATGTATTTATCAGCCGATTGACTACAACAATCCTCCGCAAAAATGTCTTTCTATGAAATGTGTTCCTTAGCTTGCATTTCCTTTATTTTCTTAAACTTCAGGTCAGAGTCTCCTTCCCAGGTGTTTTTAATTCTTCTTGCCTGGTTAGCAATACACCTGAAGGGTATATCGCCAACTGAGTGGGGCAAGTTATCATTAGTGTATGATAACATGTGCCATCTAGACAACATGAGAGTGGCAAGAAAGCCCCTTCCTCTGCCCTGGCCTTGGTCGCATATGTGGATGCTGCCTAAGAAATGCATCGATCGTTTACACATTCGCAGTCATACAGACGATGGGCGCAAGGCCAAGTACCATCCGGACAATCATCTTGTAACACTCTAACAGACTTTCGTTTGGCTCTCTAGATATAAAAAAAATAGTATGTGCCATGCCAAAATCCCACCACCTTTTTTATCTGCATCGCATGGTATCGCGTAGAAATGCATATACTAATCTTTGTCACTTGAGGGGATATAACCCCATTTTGCCTGTGGTGAAAAATGCTAAAAACCACTTAATAACCACTTATAAATTTGTGTGTTTCTAGCCATGTGAAAGACCCCCTCAATGGGAAACATGTTTTCTCTAATGTTATCTGTTCAAATAAATATGGAAGCACCCAGATCGGAGGCAGTATTAATTGTCTTCAGAGCTGAATTGTAACAAGCTGAAAGTGTGTTTTTTTCTGTTAATGCCTGAATGATAATTATAAATGTTCTTAAATAGCATCATTCGTAGCAGACAGTGAAAATATAAGGAGCCTTTGCCCTGTGTTCATAGTCGATAAACCTGTGCATGACAAACAATAGCTACCATGTATTGTTGTTGCACAAGGTAGGTTCCCCTTGTTTTGTCCGAAAGACGCAATTTACATGCAAAATGCACTATTTGGCATGAACGGATAAAAGCCCTTTTAGCTTTTTATAGTTGAGCCCTGAAGGCGAAAGACACTGTGTTGGTTTTGGATGCTTCCACATTTTTATAAGAACACATGAAATCAAATAAAACATGCTTCCCAGAGGTGCAACAGTTCAAAATCTTACCTCACGTTGCTTGCTCGTAAATGCTGTAAAATGTTTTGGTCTTCTTTCCCATATGACCTTATGCCATATTTCAATGTGCAAGATTTGTTTCTGGTTTATGTTTTGCACGAGTGCACATCCCATACATTCTTTCCCTTGCATGGCATTCTTAATGACCTTTTGTGATTTCTTTCATGATTATGAAATTTGACCACAGTTCTCAACTCTAAATTTTCTCTGCTGTACTTTTTCCTAATTTCAACGTGGTAAACTTTCATTGTTTATTGAATGTTGAATGCCGTGGGATTTGTTTTTCATGCTTGGTTTTTTTTTGTGCTGATTTTGTGCACAAGATAACCATGAACATTCTTTTTTTTGGTCATTTGATTACGTGAAAATTATTGTGGAATTCCAATTGTTATGTACAATTCAGACTTGTCTGTTGACCTGATGTGTCATGGCACAGATGACCAAGTTAGGAAATGTCTTACAATACTTGGTCTAAGTATTTAAGTCCAATTCCGCTGTTTGGTTTGTAAATATGTAGTTACTAAACGTGTCCTCCTTCGGCAGTGAGAAGTTGTGTAAAGTTTATGTATTAGAAACTTGGACCATCTGTGTTTAAGTGTATTTTGTCTCTACGTGTTTTTAGTACACTTTATGTTGTGACTTTATTTAATGACGCGAAATTTCCTAGGTTCATACATTTGTGACATTGCTGCATTTAAAGATTATTTGAAAGATTTAATACGGATTTAATATGGAAAATGGTCTGTTGACATTTGTTGGGGGTCAATTCGAAATGACTAGGGTAAAGGTCCAGCATTAGAAACCTTAATTCGTCAACACAAAGGAGTAGTGTGGTATTATGTAAAGTTAACTTGAAAGGGGTAAACCTAAATCATTCTCTGTCAATTTTTACATTGGAAAAATCATAATTCCTTAACAATACTATTAGAAACTGGTTGGAATCTTTCATATAATTATTTCCCAGAACATTTCTTTGATTAATTTACCTTAGTGACCAATGTTAAAACAGTGTCTTGTTTGATTTATATTGTGTGATATTTAATCTGTGTCCAATCAGTGTTTTATTCTTTCCATTTTTAAGTTTTGAATATGAAGTAACTTCGTGCGTTCCCAATTTATCAGTTTCATTATTCTTTTAACATTACCTGACTTACTATTGATTTTGAGATTTTCAGATTCTAATGTATACAGTTATTATTTAAAGTGCTGTTTTGCCATTTCTTAAACTGAAAGCCAATTCTCACACAACCAACCTATGTTTGTCAGTGATTAAGAATATTTTTAATTGTTCAGCAGACCCCTCGAGGCACTCACTTATGACTTGCGTGTTGCAACTGTTTACAATGGTTGAGATATTTACAGATTTCATAAATGTGCAAAGTAATTATGAGTAATAGATGTCTGTGCATTCTTAGCAATATTACATGTTGTATGTTTAATATGATCGTAGACTAGGAAAAGCTGACCAATTCATAGAATATATCCTTACGATATATGGGAAGGGGGACCCCCTGTGTGACTCAAAAGCTACACCCTATTGTGCTTCTAACCGCCAAAATCATACAGGAATTGCAAAGCTTCCGTCCACAAAAAAAATACGACAATAGAGGTGGGGGTTCATTTTGCCAGGTATCGTACACATCAAATGATTAAATGTCTCCAGCATAGGCCAACTGAGAATGATAATCGTGTCCGGTGAACTGTAGTGGGCACCAACAACATGGCAACGTGTTTTGAATGTTTTATAAACGATTCAGCCACGTGGGGGATGCTGTGCTGATTGATGCTAATTAACCACTTAAGGTAACCCGATTTGGCTGGCGCTATCGTTTTTGTAGGTTGGTTCACGTTCACAAATAGATGTGAAAACACCAGGGAACAAGATGGGAACATTTTCATTGCGTCAGCTTACACTTACAATTACTCACACAAGGAATGACTTCATTTGTTCCCACAGAATTAACCACTGTGAGATTTTGTTACCACTGGACTTGTGTCTGACAGTGAATAAAAACATCTTTTGCAAATATCTGTTCATTAGTCATTCAGTTTTTTTCTTAATGTCCGAACCAACTGTTGAAATTTTACCCTCAATTTCCCACCATACATAACACTTTCTTTAGACCTGAAGTATTTCATTGGAATTGATTTTAGGCATTATTATCAATATTGAAAATAATTCAAAGTGTAGGGCATTGATGGCACCATTTATTTCAGCGTTAATAGCTGAAGGTACACTTTAGATCAATGCAAGTCTATCATAATGTATGGTTTTGACGTCCTCCTTAGGCACGCAAAATTATTTTACAAATATGGACGATTGAAGGGATAAAATTCTTTGGACACCTTTTACCATTTTCAGAATTGGAATCACCAACATATTCTCCAAAGGTAGAGCGGAAGTCATAACAACTACGCCGTTGTACAGAGATGGGGGTTGGTGATGACTGACCTGTTACATTTTTTTCCTTAAAATTTCTGTAAGAAATTTCATATCTCTTTTGATAAAAAGTTTAATTTACCAACACCGACGCAAACTTGCCTAATATTTCATTTTAAAGAAGTGATATACATTTAGGCTTTAAAGAATCGATTAAACTGGTTTAATGTTGCCGACTGGGAACTCAATGGTAATGCACAAATTTATAAATTTACATCATTTTATGCGGCAATTTTTTTCCATGTATGTCATTTTGACCACACGAATAGAATTTTAATTAAAAAGGTGTATATTCATGAGTTTGTGCGGACTGTTCACCGTTTGTCAGTTAGGATATCTGACCCTATATTATGATTAGTACTTTTCTCTTTCAATTGTTTACCTAAGGGTTCCTTGTTGCCAAGTGTTCACGTTACCGATGCCGGATTAATTTTTATTATCATTTACACTAGCCGAAATATTTTTTAGCCACCCTACGGACGGCACAGCTAGTGTTCGAGCACAATGTGTCTGGAATGAAAGGCCGCGTCTTGAGTTCTCGGAAACCTACACCGCGATAATTAATTCCGCCTGTGGTTAATTTCAATTGCGCGCTCTATTTTGGTAAAGTCTTCATGAAATAGGTGCAAAATTTAAGGCAAAATTTTGTCGACCTTTCATTCTGACCATGTTTGTTTCTCCTTGTGTAGGTATTATTTTTCGCTTATTATATTTCTTGAGAACGAGATTGTAGGCTTGCCCAGATTTTCCCCTCTGTCAGTGTACACTGTACGATGCTCAATGAACGTACATGTAAATGTACACGAGCCATTGAACACTCAGCGTACGGGCAATGGGGCGAATCAGAATAAGCGTGTATTAACTTTTGGCAAAACGAGTGGGCAGAATTCAGATAAATTGCATTTACTTTTATATGACAGTAAACGAATTCAGGCGCCCTGTTATGACGGTTCAATTAAATTTATCCAAGGAATAACAACGAACGTACAGCCGTCCAGGTGACGCAATGTGCCTTCAACGCTGAAATGTTTTGTTTCCCTTGACACAAAGTTCGCCTACAAACATGTTGATTATCGGAAAAAATGACGGTGGTTTTTTTCTTCAAATAAAATTGAAATTTCAAGTTAAAATTGTGAAGTATTTTATTTGTCTCCTGCGCTTGAACGCAACGTTTACACTAAGAGGTTCAGGAGATATGAGATACAGAAAGTTGAAATCAGCGTTCAATCTGCAATCTTCCAGGCGTTTGGGATGCGGTCGTGTGGGACGTGGCTGAGCGTTAACTTTACAACACAAGTCATTTGGGGTGATATTTTTTTTAATGTGGGTTTGGCTGACTTCACAGCGTGTGTTGTTATTATACTTATGATTAAACTTAGAATTGTCTTAAAGACGGATTATATTTGGCATTCTGCCCTGGNTAAAATTTTTCCAACGCTTCAATCATTTCGATTTCTTGGCTTATCAGTCTTTTGATTTATTTGTTTTATTTTTTGACTGTTGGAGTCCAAATCCTGTTTATCTGTGATCATGTCGCCTATTTTTTTTTATGGTGCTACCAATAATTCACTCAATACTGAAGGCTGCCAACCAACCATCCGAAACTTTGCCGTCTACTGGTACTTTTCAAATATTCCTCAGACATGTTTGTCAATTAAGGTATTGATGACAAAAATGAGAGGTTTACCTCCTTGTTTAACGAATTTACCATTCCCGCGTCCACACAAGTCGGTTTAAAATTTTTGGCGCCTCTACAATCATAAGGAGCCCGGTTTTAGCACTACTGTTGTAGTTCGATCAGTACAAGTCGTTTTTTCAGCCCTAGTTTTAAAAGGTTTGCCATATTATAATTAGTTGGCTGACGGAGGCCGATGACCTGCTTCAGCGGTCTTGCGATTTTGCTTTGCAGGTGTGACATTTCTCTACATTTGATTAATGGCCGGGTGGCTATTTAGAGCTATCGTAATTCTGTCTGTCTCCATATTGTACTTCTTGATCGTTATCTCTTTGTTACTTCCATGTGAAGTATTTTCTTAAATGGACCAATTTCTAGTCCTTAAAGATGTCTACATATTTCTGTCAGGTTGTAGAAAATTTGAGGAATTTTTTTTTTCATTTGAGTTTGAGTTGATGTGACTCCTTGCTCAGGTAGTATTTGTGGACTGTAAATTTTTTAGGTCAGTGTTAAGTGTCGTACTGAATTCATCTGTCTTCTTAAATGTTCACATAGCTTTAGCCGGTTTCAGTTAGAGGGGACAAATCTGTTTTCAATCGTAGTGTTTTTTTAACAATAGTAAGTTACGGGTGGGTATAGAATTATTTTATGTTTCAATGGTGTTTATAGACCGTACTGTATGCATAAATTTTGCCTTTGGTTGCAGAGATAAATAATTTAGCGTCATAATGATGCAACAAAATATATTCAAATTAGAGAAACTTCAAATAAATCTGTTCTAAGGCTCTTTTGGACACCAGAGAAACCCACCATTATTTATCTTTAAAAACTTTGGGCAGTCAACACGAACAACACAACACAGTCAAACAC